AAGATGTTTTGAAATAAACACTTTGGACAGGCTGTGGCACAACAGGAAGTTACATCAGCTGTCCCCCGACAACTGCAATGACTTCTCCTAAGTAACTACAAACATGTGCAACTTTGAAAACACTCAACAGCAGCCACTAAGAGAGGTTCCCTAATATCAGTAGTACTTAGTATAACTGTCAAGCAATGTTAGTCTAAAATGTCCCAGAAGGCAACTCAAATGCAAAAACAACTATCAGTATGTATAGACACACACACACACACACACACACACACACACACACACACACATGTTCCCACACAATACACACAATCCCTTGATCCCGCCACTGTACAAATGATGTAGCGATGTACTGAGTGAGGGACAGCTGTCAACACAGGCCTACGCTTTGAATAGCAACTTGCCTATCTCTGCTGTCAGTGTCAAATCTTTAAGTGTACACAGAGCTGGACCACAGATCCGCCCCGACATGCGGTTCCTCAGCCCTGTTTAAATATTGACTCAGTTTGACCTTCAAGTAGGGATGCACTAATCTTTACAAAGTAGTAACTGGTAGTCCAGGGAGGATCTTGTAGATGCTGATAAGTAAGGGCCTTGGGGAAATAAGGAAGATACAATTAAAAAGCTTATCTGTTTAAGTTACAACAGAACACATTCTTACACAGGGTTTCTCATGCTATGGGTCACTTGTCACCTAAATCTGATGACAGGTACTGTTTTTCTATGGTGATGATGACCTTGTGTTCAGTGCTTTATTCACTCTGCTTTTAGAAGTCTGAAGTGTAGCAGTTTTTTTGTGAGCTTTCCTCCAACTCATTATTTTATTTTTTGCCCCTCCGCCCATGTCTGCAGAGCTGTGCTTTGTTGGCTGAAGAGAGGGGTGGCGTAACTTGAGAGCGGGCCAAAGAAGACTGAAGAGAGAGAGAAGCCAAAGCAAGGTGAGGCAGGGGAGAGAAATAGCTGGGTTACAAGAATGAGGCTGCAACCAGGTCAGCATTTCTGTGTCTGCCAGTCTGGGGGGTTTGTGTGTGTGTGTGTGTGTGCGTGTCTGTGTGTGTGTGTCTGCACGCGCATGTGTGTATTAAAGGGGTTTTGGATTACTGCAGTAAAGCCTGGGCATCAATCTGTGAGCCCTCACCCTTTCCCCTTGAGCGTTGTCACTGTCAACATACAGTAAAGGCTTGGCTTTTTGACCCTTGTCTTCTGAGCTGAGCCACGGCAGCACAGGCTTCTCTCTTTCAAAGTCTTGCTCTTCTGTCTTTTATCAGCAGAGCAGGCTCTAAGGACAGAACCTCTAAAGACATACAGTCCCAGAGGGAGAGCGTAACAACAATGGCACAATGCTGCAGCATATCGAGCCAATAAGTCAAAGGACCCTGTATCCACCCCAAGCCAGCTGGAATGTATGTTTGTGTGTGTATGTATGTGTATGTGTTTGTGTGTGTGTGTGTGTGTGTGTGTATGTGTGTGTGTGTGTGTGTGTGTGTGTGTGTGTGTGTGTTTACTGACGTGTGGGGGGATGCATGTTTCTGTGTAGTAGTTTACTGAGCATAAGGCTGTTGAAGACCTGAAGGGCGCTGCATATTCTTTGCAGACATCACAGATTGAATGCAAAATAAGTCTACAGTTTGTTATGGAAGAAAAACATTGAGTGGTGCATAATCAGAGAGGCACATTAAAAAGAAAGGTTGAACATTTTGGGAAATACACTTATTTGATTTTTTACCGAGTGTCACAACCTGGCTCGACAGTAAGTGACAAGAGAGGAAAACCACACAGTCTGTAAATAATACTAAATGTTTTAATTAAGTAAACTAAGTTAAAAATAGTGTGTCTGTCACTATATTTGTATGAGTACAGTGTCTGTTTGTGCAAGTGGTGAGTACGTTTGTGTGTGTGAAAGACAAAGAACAAACTGATCGGTCTGCAGGCCAGCAGAAGAGAGTGAGAGGACCCTGTAGGTCCAATTTAGCCTCCTGAGCCCAGCCTGCTCAGATGTGCTGTATCTCTTGACCAGAGCTCCACCCATCAACTTCCTGTATTAAAAGGGAACAGCCACAGCCAACAAAGGTACAAAGAACAAGGTAAGGCTAACACAAAGATCGATACCACTTTCATATCTGCTTGTTAAATATGTAGCTACCGCCAGGAGACGATTAGCTTAGCTTAGCATAAAGACTGCAAATTGGGGCAAGAGCTAGCCTGGCTGTGTCCACAGAAATTAAAATCCACCTACCAACTAACTAAGAAAAAATTTTCACATTTGTTTGAAGGTGGAGTTAGCGATTCTGGGGAAATCCAATACCATGACAAATACCATGATATAGACACAGCAAGTAATGTAACTAACGTTAGCTAAGTTGTGGGTTAGCAAGCTGTCGCTGCTGCAAAGATAACATACAGAGAGGATGAGAGGGTCCCAGAGCCAGCACACCAGCTCCAGGAGTCTACTGGAGTCTGGCTAGCTTTTAGCCCTTGCTTCCACTCATTATGCTAAGCTAAAATAGCTGTCTACTGGTTTTAGCTTCATATTTAGCATCTGGACTTGAGAGTAGTATCCACCTTCTCATCTATACAATTTCTTTAAAAAGACTTGTGTAAAAATTGCCTTGTGTCTTGTATCTGCAGCTCATGCTACAAAGTTATCCAAGAGAGTGACTGAAGAGTAAAGATTAATTAATACACTTTGTGTATAGTCAATAAATCATGCTTTTCACATACAGCTTTATCAAGTTTTGCAATGGGTCTTGTCTTGGATGAATCTAATCTCACATTTGGATGAAATAAAAGAGTAATTTAGTCTGCTTGTGTATGGCATTCTACTCCTGCCTTGATTGCACACCACAAGATATTAAGGCCTGAACTGCTGCACAACAATAGATAAGACATTTTAACGTTAACGACTAACTGATATGCAGCTAAGTTCACGTAGGACACATTAAAAGCTTGATGAAGGCTGAGACCCCTGGTAATGAGCCACATGAGATCTGAGGAAGGTGGGAAAGGACAGCACCATAGCTCACACACATAGCAGGTATAAACTGTACTGCTATAAAGAGACCCAAAATTCCTGAAAGTTAGAATGCCCCTTTGTCATTCTCAAAAGTAGCAGCAAAGAAATTGATTAAGGTATTGTTGAATTATTACCTCCAAAATGGAAAATGAATTAAAGAGCCACAGCAGTCTCCACACCACTCTGGCAGTCTGTATCTAGTTTCAATTAATTTCATCATCCCTCTATGTGGGTCCATTTAAGAATCAAATATTATCTTATTACTTGTGGGAAGTCAAATGCACACATACAATCACACACACACACACACACGCACGCAGTGGTCGATTGTACCCTTTTTCAAGGTTACACCAGAGTTCTTCTGTCGCTCACAACACATTTGCATCAAACCACCAGCCAACAGCTGCCAATTAACAAACAGCCTCTCTGTTAATACACACACGTCACTGATGATTACAGCGTCGGGTGATCTCTTTGTCTAACAACAGAATGGTGCGACACACATATACTCACACCCAACCACTATACCTCATGCACGAAGGAGGAGGAGGAGGGTTTAGGTGTACGGAAAACAGCAAATAACAGCTTATGTTTTAGAAGGGGAGGAATGAATTGGGCGAGAGGGAACAGAGCAGAGACAAGAGGGAATGTTCTGTGCCAGGAACAAGGCTTTCAGGATTAGTTCTGTCATGCGGTTACAAGAGTAGAAATAGTGGTTGGCTAGATGAGGCCTGACAGACTGAACAGTGCAAAATACACACAGCAGCACATTTTTATGAGCAGAAAAAACACTGTGCGCAATGTACACATGCAGACATTGTGTTATAAGTATGTGTGCAGAGGGGAGAGCTACTACTGTAGGTGAATGCATTTATATTAAACATTATGTGCTGGTGTTAACACGCATAAATTACTGTTCAAGTTTGGTTGTGTCTACAGCATCTGTGTACGAGTTCAACTAAGATCTGATTCATACAATATGGTGTTTGTTCCTAAAGTAAGTAGAATATCATCAATGAAAGGAAATAATGTCCAACAAACAATACTTTTAATAAATGAATTGTCAGCCGCAGTGTACAAAAGCTTTAGCAGGAGCGGATTACTGCAGGATGACTTTGCTCATACACACACATGCAAGTAGGCACAACTAATTCTTCTCATCCTGCTATCTTGTACACACATGCACATCCACACCCACTAACACATGCACACATTGTGTAATGATAATTTCCATCATGCAGCCGCACAAAATTGAACTATTCATTATTGTCACCCATGAAAATAGCATAGTGCAGGCCCGGTAATGAAAATTTATGAATGCCCACAGCCACTAGATGGCACCCTCTTCCCTTTCATTTCCAATTTAGCTTCCCATTCCTCAGCTGATCAGATGACTCTAGGATGAAGACCAATAAGATGCACTCCAAATGCTAAGCTAAGATAAAATATAAAATTCATCTGAAACACAGAAACACCAGATTGATCAACAGTTTCATGCATATTAGTAAACTAACCATCTGTTTTGAAATATATTCACATCAAGCTTGGGTATTAAAGGAATAGATAGTCACCGTGCAACCTCCCTATGTTGCATTTTCCATATACAACACTTGTCTTGGTCTTGTACTCTTGTGGACTTCCATCAGCAAGAACATATCAATCAATCAGTACCACTCAGATCATGGGAGGTTAGCTGTATTCAGCATGCCTTGAGTAATACAGTCAATACAGTGACCTTCTATAAAACAAAAGATTTGCAGAATATAATCAGGCATACTGGGCATCGAAAAGTCAGAGCCATACATGGCAAGTGAGATGGCCTGACATTCTCAGTGCAATGAAAGAGAAAATGGTTTTACATGTCTGCACATGGTCAGTAACGGCCATTTTGTCATTTAAAAATGTATTATATTTGATATTTTCCGATGGAAAATTAACAAAAACTACAAAGACTGCTATTGTAGGTGAACAGTGTATACAGTGGATATATGTGTGTTATAAGAATGTGATTTAATAGCACAGAATACAGTATAAATGCTGTGAAAGTATGAACATCTTTGGTTAAAAAAAACAACATTACAAACATTACCAAAGTAACTTTTCCTTAGTTTCATATTTTCAGAGATAAAAGCAAGAGACACCAGCTCTCGTGGCTCTAAATCAAGAGCAGCAACAATCTTTTGGTTAGGTATTATATAATCAAGTGCAGGCTACAATATTGTGATCAGACCAAGATTATTCAGTGTTCAGACTTGTTGGGAGGTGTCTGCTGAGGAAATTGAGATGGGAAGTTAGTGCCAATGGCCATCATTTCTTCTTGCCAGCAGTCTTGGCACGTTTGTTGGGCTGCTGGGCGGCAGCAGGGGTGGGGGTTGTTTTTTCTAGAAGTGCCTGCTGGGCCTCCTCCAGCGCCGGTTTCTCTTCTTGTTCCTTTTTCATGGCCGCCATCTGACGGCTACTAAATGCCTCGCAAGCGTTATGGAATTTCTTACAGCGTTGCCACAAGGCTGCCTGGAGACAAGACAGAGAGGCAAAGAGATAGAAGTTAGAGAATGATGTCTAACCAGAGGGAAAGGAAGCTGACAACAAATCTTTCTCACTCTCTTTCATTTTGATAGTCAATGCTGATTATTACTACATTATTTGTCTACATCTTTACATCTAAACTTTTAGACAGCACAGAGGTTTTTCTCTGTCTAGACTGACCTGCATCTTCTCATACATCTCCAGCTGTTGTCTCATTAGTTCCCTCCTGTCGAGCTCATGCTGTTTCTGGTGCTCTAGCACGTTGCCTCGGACCAACCGGTACGTCTGGATCTTTTCTAAGCGCTCCCTCTGCTGGATTGCCTCTATCTGTGGGTTCATCAGCGCTGGAAAATCCTTCTGGCGTCTAAAGACGTACACAAGGACTTGATACAATGTGTATATGTTTAATGTTGTTTCAATATGGTCTCTAACCAGAAATGCTGGATAATTTATTTTACTATATACATATACATATATATATGTATATATATATATATATATATGTATATGCCACCATTCATGAGCTGTACACAAAAGGCAAAAATGTGCAGGAGTGTATGCATCTCGACAGATGGACGCTTATTTTCATTTTCCCAGTATCTCCAGGCAGAGGAAATTCCTGCATTTCTCATTCAGAGGAATCCGATCTCACATTTTCTGACGGCTTTTTCAGAGGTGTGTCAAGCAAGCCAGATACTTTTTTGAATTTTCTTTGGAACCTTTCAAAGTAAAAGCTCTCAATTAAAGACAACATAAAGTACTACTGCAAAGATTTTCTCACGCTTTTATTTTGTAGTCACAATCACTTGGAAGTGATTATGTCAGTTTGCTGTCATGACTGAGATCTGTTAAAAGCAGCTATCAAAGTAATCTGGCCACGGACCAGATATTATTGCTGGTGGGCCAGCTTTGGCCTGTGGACCGCCTATTGCCGACCAATGGCATAAAGGGTACATCCTGTTTTGTAAAAGACTCAAGATAAATACTGATGGGAGAATTTTGAAGATCAGATATTAATACTGGATACTCAGTATAGCAAATGTTATCAAATTCTACCAATTCTTCCAGGCTATTTTCTGAGATGGGACAACTGACAATGGTGACACAGGCGAGACAAATAAAAATGGAAATGTGGCTGATAAATGCAGAGGTAGGCAGAGGAAACGATGGACACGCAGTCCAATGTCTTATCTCATGTCCCAGAGAGTGAGGCTTTGGTTGTAACCACTGGATTTGGGTATTTCTCTGTAAAGAATTGATTGTAGTTAAATGACATTCATTTGTGTGTGTGGAAAGAAGAGAGACATACATAGAGTGAATGTGTGAGGCCATTAGCCAGTCAACATGTGTATGTTTGTATGAGGACGAGAACTGACTGGGAATAACCCTCTGAGGCACAACGCAGAGGGAGGAATTTAAAGAGAGTGCTAAATATGGCTGCCTATTCCCTATAAGCTGACCTTAATGAGGAGGGGAGGCCACTTGAGGTGATGATGAAGTTCATTTGGTTAATGAACATTGCCCTGTTCAACCTCTTTCACTGCGTGTAACAGCGTGTGCAAATGCTATAAAGATGGCATGCATGAGTGTGAATCTATGATGTTGCCTTGTGGTGCTTCTTTGTGAGAAAGAGGTGTATTGCAGACTAATCAGAGTCCCCTAATAGACTCCTCCGCAGGATCTCTCTCTCGGATTGCAGGCCACAGTGTCAGAGGCCATTAGCAGCTGGGCGCGGACACATGTGTGGGTGCATGCACGCACACACACATACACACACACACACACACAGCAGGACAGGATGGAGAGGTGATGGGAGAGGGGGCACATCTCATTGGAGCGACGAGCTCATTGGGGTCCTGAAATAGCTCTCTAATTAACAGACCCAAATATCATCTCATTTATCACTGAGAGCGACGGACAGAGAGAGAGATGGTCTGAGGGAGAGTAATGGGAGACTCTGATGGGAACCGTGGAGGGTGACTCTTCCCTCCAGAACACTGACACTGGCAAAAGCTAAAAGTTGACACACAGAGGCAAGAAACTGAGGTGCTTGTGACACTAACTGTGTATTGATATTAACATATTAATAATTGACATTCATGGTCGTTCTATTGCCAATGTTAAGTACACCTCTCCAATTCTTTACAAAAACATGACGTTGAAGTTAAAGCACTGGTACTACTAATTTGAAGCCAGTCATTTTGTTTTAAAATGGGTCAAGTCAGCCACGAAGCAGACACACAGAGGACTGAAACCAAAATAATAACAAAGAATCGCTAAGTTTTAAGGCAACATACACATGATTTTTTTTACCACTTAGCCTCTCCTTAAAATCTCTACATTATACAGTTTACATCCCTGTGCTCTGGAAGTCCATTCATTACCCTTTCTGGCCAGCCAAAGTGTCCAGTCTTGTAACACTGCAGTTCACAGCACCAATGGGAGCAAATGTCATAACCACAAGAAATCTCTCGCTATCTGTCCTGCAGATACTGTATGAACCAATCTGCTGAGAATGAGGATGCTGGTTATGTCCACAGACATCCACACATAAACAACCCCCTAGTGCAATCAGCCCTTGCAGCAGAGGCTTAATTCAGGCTCACAAAGCTGGAGGAGCAGAGTGATCCTACATTAAGCAACTGGACCGCATACACTATGACTTCAACAGTGGGAAAAAAGAAATAGCCTGTTAGAAAACTACACTGAGATGATGACTCTGTCTTGGTGGTTTGTGTATTATTCTCCATCTCTGCCCTCTAAGCACAGATATGAATGTGTCTGTTGGAACAGGCTGAACCAATGTCAGTTACAGAGAGGTACACACAACTAACCACAGTGTTTAAACAGACTGAAACTGATCATTCTTCAATGTACAGTTATGTATCTGTATAACTATGTGAACACATTATGAAGCACCTGATGAAGGATGAGTAGTCCATGGGAGGATAGGAGCATGAGGTTTCAGTCAGCTTTTGAGTAGATCTGGGAGCAGCTGTTAAGAAACAATCAGTAAAGGCATCATTACCATACTGTATGTGACAAGTAATGGAAACAGAGAGTGCCCATACATACATACTGTATGTATACGATTGAGTGTGTGTGTGTGTGTGTGTTTGTGTGTGTGTATCTAGAGTACGGTACCGGGCTCTTTGCTTTCTGCATCATCTGTAGTAGTTTCATCACTTGCTTGATGTTGGATTTGTTCATGAAATTTGAGACGAGACTGTAAAGCCTAAAAAGACAGCAAAACATCCTGTCAAAATGAACTTAGTAAAGTTAAAAATTAAAACACATTTTCGTAATCATACCTTTCATATCGCCACAAGAGATAGACAATATATTGGAGACACTTCATTAAAAAAGATTTCTGCTGAAAAGTAATTACATTTAACCATGAGTACAAACACAGCTTTTGGGTTACCTTAGCAAAGCGACCTGGTTCTGCCATTTCCCAGGCTTTTTTAATGGCTTTAATCTGGTCCATTCTCTCTGTGTCCTTCGTCACCTCGATGCTCCCTGTTTTGCTCTTGTCACTGACGACACGCAGCGTCCAGTTCGGCTTTGTCAAGTCAAGGCTCTGCACAAACATATGCACGCGCAAAGCATGCACACACAAAAAAAGTAATGCATATGCTCACGCACAAAAACATCCCAGAAGTAGGTCAACGTACCACAACAACAGTATGAGTATGTCTCTTCAATGAACAGCTCAGACAGGCTAGTGCACAGCCAGCCTGCCGGCCGCCGAGGATTGTGACTCCGGTTCCACCATCTTGTCGTCATTGTAAATAAAAGATCAAGTTTTGTTCATTTATTCAGATATATTTATGTTTAAAATGAAAATGTATTGAAGAGGACTAGCACTGTGAAAATCTGACTTTCAAATGTCAGTTTCTTTAGGGTTTGACGTGTAGTGCAGTAGAGAATAAAATAAAATAAAGAGAATAAAATGCATTTATTATTATTATTATTATTATGTGCATCAGAGATTTGTTTCTGACTACTAAACCAAGTCTATTATACAGAGAATTATAGCCCATGAGATTATAGTGTGTGATAAGAGAAGTGTCTCTTATTCAGCGTAAATACACGCAGGTAATCCTGGCAGTTGTGGGGTTTGGTCGATGCCAGTCTCTCTTTGTTAGCATTTCAGATTCGGATGATAGCAGACTCAAACAAATATGCAAATGCTGACCTGCCTGATAAAACAAACTAAAAATATGATATTAGAAATGTCAGGAGTTCAACAACAATCTCATTTTTAGATGCAGTTTGGATGGGAATCTGTTAAGAGGAGTAAAGTGTGTATTCCACTGAAGTGCCTCCACAACCTCCTCTCAAAAAGGTTAGTATAACTACCTTTTCTAATTATTTTTTACAAATTTTTATATTTTCTTAACATATGATACTGTGGAAGGTATACAATGAATATAAACTTATGTAAGAGATTACAAAAGCAGTCGATTTGACCTTGCTAAAACAAAGTATGTAGCATATGGTATTGTAATGTCATCGAATAAGAATGTCTAATGATATAAAATCTAATGAAACACAAACAGTTCTTCTTGGGAAATGCCATTTGGCACATATGATGAAAAGCTCCAACAACTCATCTTTGAGTATGAAATATATAAACATAATATTGTTGACAGGGTTGTGGTGTTCTGTTGTTGTTGTTGTTACCGTTTCCTGCCTGGAGCCAGATTTGGAGACGGCAGCTGGCTTCCCTTTCTCCTTGTCACCTTCGCCTTTGCGGTTGGCTTTGGGTGTGTCCGATTTGTGTCCACCGTGGATCAACGTGTCAGTGGATGAACGCTTCAAGTCCTCAGGCCTGTATACTACATTTTGCAAACAGAGATTAGATAGCTTCATTTTTTCTAACACCACCTACAACTTCAGCTGCAACATGGTGTTAATTATGTAAAAGCTTGACTATTATCATCAAATATTTTACATCATAAAGGGATTTTAAACATTTACATTGTTCAGCATGCCTTAGTATTCTGAAGTTGACAAAATTTTACTTTTACAAGCATTTTAACATTAAAGTGAGTAACTACTGAATATAGAAACTGAATACCTGAGTGTGGTATTTAGGATTGTGCAGACATACCTTACATTTTTGTAAAAAGAAATTTTTTTCCCCAAACATTTGACATGTTTTAATAAATATAATTATGCCTTGGAAAGGCTAAAACACTTCCTTTTTCAACACGTACCATATCCATTGGTGTACATTCATCTTCACAGCTAAGCCCTGCCGTTCACATCCTGCTCAACACAATTAAAGCTCATCTGGAGTGGGAGTGTGACAAAGTGGGCAAACACTGCATGTGTTGTGTGGTCGCACGTGTGCTAGATGGCACTGTTGCACTGTATAGCTGAAATGAACACAAACCCCGGCTTACATGGAGCTTTAACTATGAGTCTCACTTCTCTGATATAGAGAGGCATAATAATCCATCATTTAGCTGACACCCTGCCACTCTGCCTGAACAGCTTTGGTGAATGCCTATTGAGTTACTCTTATCAAGTTATATAGAAATTCAATGTTCAAATTGGACCTAAATATCAGTCTGCGTTGTTGTAATTTCAGACGGATACATGCATTGAGAACTGATTTTCAGTCGGCCAAGCTTAAATACAATGTATCAATCTTTGCAGAAATTGTTTAGATACTAAAAATGTGTTTTTAATAGCACAGCAAAGAAAACGTCAAGGAGGCTGGCAAGGGGATGAAAAATCTTGCCAGAAATACATGTACAGCTACTGCTGACAGTGGACTGCTTTAACAGTGAAGCAGAGATGCGTAAATGTGCATGCATTTAACATGCACAACAGTATTTTGACTGCAGCTTGTTAAACAGCTTGTTAAAGAGGTTTCAAAGCTTGGCATGGCATGTAGTGCGTGTGTTGCCATGTAGCATGTAGGGAGCATGATCAAGGGCACAGCCTCACCACTGAGACAGAGTTTAACTGGGTGAAATTAATTCACTTTCCTGCTGAGATATTTCCCAGGGCACCAGGGGGCAAGAGCCAACTTCATTTGACTTCCTATTGACCCACTTTCACAAGCTTATTGGAAAACCACAGGAGGTTTGCGTGGACATTGGCATACACATACACACATGGACAAACCCACGAGCATACCAAAACCATAACATATCACGTGAGCAGAGAACACATGCATATGATTAGATGAACACACACCATATCTAAGCAGGAACAAATCCTTACTTGTTCATCTGACACATGACCATTACCGTAATAATTACATGAAGAGGGGTTTGTCTTCCTCTGTAGTCAAGATACATCTGATCTGATTTTGGAAAGTCTTTCACAGAAAGACGCACATATCATCCTCAGACTTTATGCCATGCAAACTGAATGGGTAAATACTGGGGCCATTGTCAGAAGCAACAGAGGGAAGAGAATGAGAATTCAGTGATAGCGAGCTGGCCTCTCTCTTCAGTCAATCATGCAAATTGTCACTCATGCAGCACCTCTTTGAGATCAACATCCACCCGAGCCACAATTAATCCTTCCCCTCCAAATTTTTACGAAAGCTTCTGCAAATTTCAAAGCCCTGATCTTTCAATCGATCCAATTTGTGCAGCATGATTAAAGGCAGAGAAGCAGAGTTGGTGGCAGAGGACAGGATTATTGCCTCAGCCAGCGACCAGTGGGCACAAGAAATCACACTCTGATCTGCAAAAGCAGCTGTATTCATTTGGCTTTCATTAGGCTTGTGATTAACAGGCCCCTGGCTAGCGGAAGCAAAGAACAAACAACGCCTGCCTTGGCCTCTGACACTGCCTGCTGAGTATCTGCCACATTTCACACTGAACACAAAAATAAGCTGTGCAAAATAACCCAAAGATGACAGCCATATCAGAAAATCCATTCTAAAAATGTCTGAATGCAATAATATAAATGAAAATGCTTCATTACCCATTATAGGGATATCTGAACTGTGCACATTTAGACTTTAGACTATTTAATGTTTTTAAAGGGAGCGAAATATAATCAGTGACTTTCTTTTCTGTTTTTTTCTTGAGAGACTGAATTTATCTTACAGTTTGATGTGGCTTTTATGACTTAAGTTTGTACCTCTCATTTCGTTCTTCTTCAAGTCTCTAAGAATATGGACAAAAGCCAGCTGAGACTCATCCAAATCCCAGCTCTTATAAAGCACCTCTGCCTGCACCACATACTTATGACCCTGTGAAACACAGACAAGGCAAAGTCAGTGTACAACACCCACATCACATCACATCACATTACTCACGACGTGACAGACAGATGCACGCATTACAAAAAAGAGACATATACCGCATAATGCATCTAGAATACAACACCATAAATGCAGAGCCAACATAAGGTGCATGCTATTTTGTATTGTGTGAACATACAGCTGTGAACTGAACTAGTGCTGATGATTCAGAGAGACACACAGAGATCTTAAAGAACTGCACATTTCGTTTTTGCTGTTCTCTGCCCTCTTTGACAGAAGCACATGCTTGGCACAAAAGGAGAGAGGAGGCAGAGGGTGTGTAAGCCAAGATTATATCAAGGGTGGTAACTCCCACATCCATCACACGGAACAGAAAAGACAGAGTTTCAACAAAATCCCAAGGTGAGACTCAAACTAATAGAGTGAGGCGCATTCTACAAAAACAGAAAATTTGTTTTATTTTGTCTGATATTAATGATTGTAGTTGTAACAGAACCTAATAAATGCGTTTTGCAGAAAGTGATGTGTTGTTATGAATTCCTGCACCACCACCGTAGATCTCTATAGATAAAATGAAAGCCAGAGTTTGTTTTTTCATGCGTTTACAAGTGTGTTCACTTCCTCAAAAGATTACACTACAGGAGCCTTCCCCATTTATCCATTGGTACCGAGCATCAATATGTCTGGTGTGTGTCCCTGTGGTGCAAAACAGCTCTCTAATCACTAACCCTTTGTTCCAAGTGTTGATCGGTGGACTAAGTCCTAATTAAGAGCTGTTTATTTTGGCCCGCTGCCGCTCTGATCTGTGGGATCTGACATGATCTGTCTCAATGCTATTGATGTTACCACATTGTTGGGTTAATTTGTTGAAGAGACTTGGTATTAAAACGTATTAGTAAAATGTGCTGGCTGTGACCTAAATAAACATCTTGATAGGTCTATTGCAAAAAGATAAGCTTTTGTTGTTAAAAGCCTCAATCTACCACTGTAAATGTCAAATTAACTGTATTTATTTATGAGGTGTAAGCAGTTACTGAGGGAACATTTAAATTATTGGTTCTTTTATGGACTTGTTTATACTGTACAATTGGTATGTGGTGTGTAAAATGTGTATGTGAGTGTGTGATGGTACACACACAGTACGTACTACATACTTTGGCAATCATCAAACTCTGATAACAAGACTGTTAGATAGCGGGTCTTCAGACAATCGAGTGACTCATAAATCATGCACAAATCACTACTCTCTGACAAGCACGGATAAGTCAGACGGTAACAACAAACCACCCCTCCGGTTTCTGCCACTCTCCTCTTGCAAATTCCGTCTGCGCATGAATGTGTGTGTGGGTGTGTGTAAGTTCATGTGTCTGTGCGTGTGCATGCCTGCAAGTGAGGCGTTATGTGTATCTGGCAGTGAAAAATTGATATCAACACAGGCAGTAAGCAAGTGGGTGAAAAAGACAGAGAGGGAAACTGAGATGCACGCTTGTGTGCGTGTGCAAGTGAGATCGGTACAGTGTTTTGAGCAACAGCAGATAACCATGCAGGCAGTTTTCAGTGATACCATAGTCTCTGTGGGAGGCTGAGACTGGTCAGACAAGGAGTCTGATTTCCCAGCTGTGCCATCCTGCCTATCTCTTAGCTGGGAAGTGTATACCACCTTGATTCCCTTGTCCTGGGTGGGGGATCCCTTCTGGCTCTGGTTCTCCTCATCAGTGCAACTGGGTGCTGTAACACAAAGGGATATATTAAACTAAGCCCATATCTGAGAAAAGACAAGAGTGGTCAGCAATCTGTCTTTTTGTAACTGATGGAAGCATCGACTGAAAAGCAGACTAAAGCATTTGAGAGGCAGGTTTTGGAGAGCTCTTGTGTGTAGTGCCTCTACTGTCTGCCTGTATTTTACTGTCGATTGTGTTAGCATAGCAAAAAGCCAGTTCAATGTTACTTAAAGGGTCAGTTCTCTCAAAACTAAAGTAATACTAACAAAAAATATTTCCTCACTAACCATTACTTGTAATTACCTATGCAGATAGTTTTGGCTTATTTGCCCAGGTATTTTAGGTACGCAGGTAATTTCTGTATTACTCTCCAATACAATTAGATTTTTTTGATGCTGCTCAGTGTGTTGAACAAGAACATTTGACAATTTCAATGGGACATTTGGTAGATGAAGACCCTGACCATTTAACAGAATCATCCCTGGTTTGACTTTGTTGCATGTCATACTCCTCTCTCTCCCTGTATTTCCTGTCCCTATAGCTACTATCTATCAAATAAGTAGGGTAAAATGCTAAAAGACGATAATAATAATAATAATAATAATTATATCTCTTTCCAGAAACAAGGTTCCTGTTACTCTGGATAAGCCACAGATTTTTTTATAGGTACTATTTCTTTGCTACAAGTAGAACTAATTAATAACACTCTCTGACGCGAACTTGGCTTTTTAGAGGACTTCTTTCAAATCCTTTTGAGCCACAAGAAACTATTCCTTGTGACTGAGACCCTATATATTTAACATTCAATTCTACCAACAGGATAAATACATTGGTTTAGGACTATTCCAAAAACAGAGTAAATCAACCGCTTTAACCCTCTATCCAAGGGGTGGTAAAATCAAGTAATCCACCGCATACATACTGCCATTCACTTCGAAAATACTATCCTCAAAGTCCCTTTGCCCAAACATTAATCCCAGCTCACTAGTGACAAGTTACACAACTCTTAATGCTAAATCCAATGTCAAGCTATTTGGTGTTTGGGGAGGGTTATCAACACAAAATACATTAGTGTAGTTTTAAGCAGCAGAAAAAACAAGTGTGCAAGACAAATAAGATTTTGTGTTTCAAAAAGGAATTTCTGCAAACTGAATTACTGCACCTGTTTAAGAGTTTATTGGATATGTTTTAACCTAAAGCATGTCAAATCAATGCTTAAAAAAAGGTCAATTTGCATCTTGTATATCATAGTAGTTATCTTGTAGATATAAAGAACTGCCTTTCATCACTCTTTTTATCTAGCACCTGGCCTGAATATATGTACTACATATACTTAATTCTAACCTGAGTCTGAATAGCATGCTCTGCACCAGGCTGAAAGACATGACTGTTCATGGATTCTAGGATGGTTCTAGGGTTTCAGTATGGACTGCTGATGAACATATTGTAAGAACCTTTACTAACAGCACTTTCCTGAGGGAATTGAAGTCTCATTTATATGTGTACAGGTATGTGTGCTTACAAAGAGCCAAAGGTGTATGCATTAGCTTAGAGTAAAGTGTTGGTGCTATTAATCTCTTTGGGGATGGCTAGCCACAGAGCACTGTCCATGGGAGAACTGCTTAGAATGTTGAAAAACAAAAAACAAGACAGAAAATGGTCACAAATAAGGAGGTTCCTGCTGCCTTTAATGTGTAATGTTGTGGGCTGAATCCTGCTTATAATATTTACTGCATACCCTCACCTCTTTTTCTCATACAGCATGTCCACTCAATCACCACTGTAAGGGAAATGGCTGTGACACAGTTACATAGCTTCCATATGTTGGGGTTAAATTATGATGGTAAGGAAATCACAGATGAAAACAGATATTGAAAATGTAACTTTCTCACACATAGATACGAACGAGTATTGATACGTTGTCCTGTGTTTTTGAAATCTAACACACAGATAAAAGGCTGTCTGACAAAATTACTAAACCTAATGACTGCTTACCTTTGTTGGCCAGGAAGAAGAACACAGGAATTACAACATGGCCCTTCCCGGTGTTGCCAGCCACCTCCTTCTCATGGTCCAGAATGGACAGACGGATCAACACATCTGGCTTGGAAGTCTGAAACTGAATTGTTCCTAGGACGTCTGCCGTCACCTGCACATTGTAACTGTGGAAAAAAAGTTTCAAATGATTGTGGGTACCATTAGCCTCTCAGAGTACCCCTCATGTTGTCTTATGTTAAGAGCACATACATTACTAAACCTTATAAGGTTTAGTAATGTATGTGCTCTTTGAATATTGTCACACCTTGTTTCTAATTATCAAACATGCATATACTGTACTGCAAGTAAGAATACGTGAGAGTTACTGGATCAAATTATTTGTATGATACATCCTCAGCAACAATTAATTTCAGTTGACCAGTATAAAACCTATGATGATTATTCTACTTAACTTTTCAATCAAATCTATGCCCTATAATTCTCTTACCGACATATGAGGTTTTTCTCATTGGGAATATAATAATTCCGGAACTCCTTCACTGAGAAGGTGTTGAGTGGAGTCTCATGGGACAGTTTTGGAAGGACTTCACTTGAGCTGATCAAGCGCATCTTCCACTTGGCACCAACAGGGGGTGATTCAGGTGCGACAGCCTCTGCTACAAAGGTATACCCAAGCTGGAACAAGAGATACAGAGAGATTTAACAATAAAATCTGTCTGTCTTTCACACTCAATAAAGAGTGTGAAAGACAGATGGAAATAGGTTAAGCACAACAAGGAGAAATGCTGATTTACTGTTTTCTTTTAGGATTTGTTTCATGTATAATACTAGAAATTATTACACCAGGTAGCCACAGTTTGTCGCCAAACAGTCAAGTTTGTACCTAGTTTTCGATTAAGTCAGGCAGGAAGCACATAAAATATGTCAAGTATGTGAACATTTGAAGTGCAATGACAGACCTTGTTAGGTTGATAGACACTGGGTGCTGCTTTGTTGAAGACCATGTCCAGCTCCTTTCCTGTGTCATTATTTACAATGTGCAGCAGACAATTAGGGATTGGGCAGTAGACCTTTGGTACCAGCAGCATCTCCTTAGGAACCAGGAATACCTCTCTTAACAAACAACACAAGTAAAACCAAGTTATAAAAGGTCTGACTAAATTGTCAAGTAGTTTTCCGCTGTTTATTGTTGAAATTCTGAAATGCCATCTTACATTTATATTAGCTTTACTGGCAGGAATGAGAGTTCAGACAGTATGACATTTGGTGAGAAGGAGACATCAGTAATTTTACACCTGGATTCACACAGATTTTCCAAACCAGGTTGGGAATTCTCTTTTGCTGACAATCCTAACCTTCAAGCTACAGTGTTCTCTAACCTAAAGACCAAAACCCAGGAATCGGCTGTGTCTTGAAGAGGGACAGAGTAGTCAGCAAACGTTATTCTAGTCCACTCATCTTGCTGACAGGGGTAGAGCTCTGCTGTACTCTCAGAGTGGTCAATGATATACCTGTGCAAAAAACACAGAGGGGCAGAGCACATATACAAATGTCAATTTTAAACAGAGTATTAAAACCACGTGAATAGTAAGAAGGCTGTCACTAAATCTATTACCAGCAAAAAATTTACTCAAACTTTTTTAATAATATTTCTGATGTAGTGGATAATGAATAAAATCAATGGAGGAAAGTAGATGCACTTCACGTCTCAGTGTGATCTTTCACTGAAGTGGATGTTTCTGTCAGTTAAGAAAAACACACGCTCAGAGGCTCACAAAACCCCTAACCCCACCCTCCGTACACACACCGACCGAGCTCTCAGCACTCACGCACACACATACTTCCCCAGGCAGCGGGTCATTCGGCAGACGCTGCTAGCCGATTGGAACGGGGAGAGGATAAACAGCAGATGGTACCACTGGGAAAAGATGGAACACAATGTGGAAAATGCTCCCTGCCTGGCCACCACAGGCCGCCACAATCAGGAGGGGGAGCAGATTCTGGCCATGCGGTGCAACAGAGAGGCTAAACGCATGCCATACAATATATAGCACTGTAGTAGGAGCCCCTCATATTCTCTCTGATAATGAAGTGTGTGAACAAATATCAGCCAGGTTAATGATGTGTGAGGTGTTGTCTGATTGCTGTCTAATTCAAACATTGTGTAAACATTATTTATTATCATTGTGATCATGCATTTTAATACTTAATTTACCATAGCAAGAGGGCAGCATGTTTTTCTGCATCTGCGTCAACCTTCGGCCACATGTCTAAAAGGATCTTAGATGCACTGAGGTTCTCCTTCGTGCCTGAATGACATGAACACATACACACACATACACAGAAAAGGAGCCACCATTAAAGATGAAAGACAATCCATGTTGCTGTCAAACACATGAAAAAATGGCTATAGCTGACCTAGTTCAGGGTAGGAAACAGAAATTGCAGAATGCATTTTGTGCCCCATTCAATGAGAGGTGAAAGGAGGAGATTATTCACACCTTGACATTCACTTTCACACTCATCTCACCACACAGGTCACCACACTGACAGACCAGGGGTCTCATTTATAAAACTGTATGTAGAATCCTCACTAATAGTGTACGTAAGACCAAAAGCCAAAAATGGTGTATGCCAAAAAATATTCAGACTTCTAAAACCGTGCGTACGTATATCTGTAAGCAAGTTTCCTTTATAAATCACAATCAACTTGAAATGTGGCGCATGTGAGGGAGCTCCATGTCTGACCCTTCAAACGCCCATAGTTGACTATAAATGGTCAGTGAAATGCCCCTCATTAATATTAATACGTACTGACTGCATGAAGAAAAGGATGACTAATTCTGGCAGAAAAGCTACAAAACAAAATTTAACTCAGTGTGACACTGACGTTCCTTTTGGTGAAGCTAAAGCATGTTGTTTGGTGGGTAAAAAAATGCACTTTCATGCAACACTTGTGCACCAGAGGAAGCTCCACCCCCTTATAACCGAGCCGAGTAGTGACGTTGCTGGTTGGAGAGGGACACACATGGAAGACGGGATGACCCAGGTACTAATTTGTATTCCCCTGTTTGAAAAGAGAGTAAACCAAATGCATTCCAGTAGTGTTTAAACATTTATTTAGGCTACACAAACACTGTTCAATTAATGAGGCTGCCGATGAGACTATGACTTGTTTTATATGACATAAGCAGTACACTGAAAGAATTACTTAATAAATAGTGCTATATTTTCCATATTGTGTTTTTGTTTTTGTTGTGCATCACAACCACACGCTGGCGTACAGCATTTAGCTCAAAATGGCAACGAACATGTGATAACAATGTGATATAAAACTATGCACTCGTATTTGCTCGACTGATACATTGAAAACGGCATCAATTTAAATGTAATTTGTCCTCCTGTTCACCTTATTCATGAGAATAAATTGCACTGCATGCAAGTACCCTATGAATTAATATGATTCCTGATTAAACTGATATTTGAGGGGTTCTTTTAGTTTTGTTTATTATCCTAAATCTGGATCTTTTTGTGTGCGCTGCAAATGATTCTGGGAAAATCAATCAAACGGTGTTTGTTTATTCAGAAAGGTTTTAAGCCAATAATAACACACCATTTAAAAATGAGGTCCCAGAACCTTTGCTTAAAGATGTAGTACTATGTGTTCATGAGCATGTGTATGTGTCAGCAAGTGTGTGTTTCTGCATGTAAGTGAGAGAAATGTGGCATGTGGCATAGGTGTCCTCTCATCCTCCTAACCCCTGTTCCCTCCCTAGTGTTCAGCTCTCCCTTTTCAAATGGCCACTTGTCCAAATTCATATAGCCATTATAGTGGGCCAAAGCTGGCTATTGAGAGATGAAGACCTCCTATCATCTTTATAACCTACGAGAGGCACTAGACAGACAGAAAGAGAAGAAGGAGCACAAGGAGAAAAAGAAAGTGGTAGAGTTGGGTGAGAAGCAAGTTGTTTGAGGTTTGAGAATTTGGCCATTTAAAATAGGCAAAGGCCAGTTCTTACTTTTCTTTAAATGAACGGCTTTTCAAAGTGTAGTTAGACAGGCAGTGTTTTTAAAATATGATTGGTGTTTTGCTATTACTTTAAGTGCCACTCTGAAAGCTGCACTTTGTGCTTTGACTTGTTAATGAATAATTTGAGAGAACTTAACCATGACAGGTCTATATTATAAAAGTCAAGCTTTTCAGCCTGCGTGTGTGTGTGTGTGTGTGTTTGTGTACTCATGCTAATGGCATATAACTACCAGCAATATTTTTTAGTGTTGCTGGCAGATGGGTTCCATAATTATGTGGATATTTTGGGTGTTTGGTATGCTTGAAACACATTTTCAAGCCATAAAATAATGGGCAAAATCCCATCTATGGCATTATACAGCACTGTTTTATGCAAATGCTGCATTAATGAGGCAGTGCATACTCCCATTTTCACAAGTTATTCAGAGGATGACAGTGTCATGTGTGGCGCCCAGAGAAGACGGTTGGCTTCAGGTCCCGGGCATAAATGTCTGGGCAATGTGTCACCTCCTGTGTTTTCTTAATAAGTGATGCACCTTCGTGGTAAGATAATTACCACCACCTCTGGAGAAATATTAAAAATAACTGAAACTTAGGGAATATTGCCTGCAACCTGCATAAGAGCCGAATTAGCACTGAAACAGTGCAAGAACAAAAAAAAGTACAAAAGAAAAGCTGCTGAGCTCGGTCTCTCTATATAATCTCTCATTCTTTCCTACAAACTGTCCAGTGTTTCCATGTCTTTTCTTTCCCATTTTTCACTTGCTGTCACTATTGAGAGGTTTGTTTGTTGATGCAGAATGTTGTGCGCAGGTGTGTGTGCGTTTCCTCTATGTATTTATATCCCCTCTGTGGCCACCCCTCATCTGTCAGGGTGTATTAGTAAGAGTGGCAGTATCATCAATACATATTTGAGGCTCAATACATGCCATCGGGCAAACTCAAACAGTGAATATAAGATGCAGAAGATGTTTTTGGACACTAAATAATAAGCTAATTGTGTTGTCCCCCCCCCCCCCACCATGTCTAATTTGGTCCCTTAGCCTTCCAAGTTGCTGCAGATGTGTTTGTCTTTCAAACATAGAGCACTGAAGAAGAAAACAGAATTTAAGACTGTGTAATCAGAAGAAAGCATTTGCAACTATTCAAATGAAACACGACATTTTAACCTGACCATGATAACTTGAACTATATATATATATATATATATATATATGTGTGTGTTTACCTGGTTTTGAGGCATTAAAGATCTTTCGTTCTGAGTGCCTTTTGAATTCACCCTGCAGAATGGTGACAGCCTTGACCTCCCTGTCTGTTGGCTCCCTGTCTCTCCACCTTTCTGGAGGCTTCAACTCTGCATCCACTTAAGAGAGTAACAGCAGAACATTGCAAGTTAATACTGATTCCCGAACTATGAAAACTGTTAAATATGGTATAATGATTGAAGAGGAATTTATTTTGAATTCAATTAGTATAAATAAGTTAACTCTTATATGATTTGAGTTGTGTTCTTTCCTTGCATGTCAGAAATCATTTGAGTAGGGTATCGTTGGCGTAATAAAGTGTTTAAATCCACTCATTTTATCAATTTTATACACTGTAGGGGAAATGATGATGTAGTGTATTATACACTACAATTTTACCTGTTTTAGGTGTATAATCACAATCATATGTAAATGGAAAACACAACATTTACAAACACACAAATGACACATACATACATATAGGGGAGTGTTCTTCGGCATTAGTGGCCAAGAGTGAAGGGTCAGCTGTTAGGGCCAGTACACCAAACCGCTCATCTGCAGTCAGCTTCCTGCCCAGAGCGTGATACAGCATGTGGTAAACAGCAAGGTTAAACACCTATACACACACACCCAGACATACAGCACACATGCACACAAGAGAAAGAGGAGAGATGTTAGCAATTTTGTGCTGTATGTGTGTCTGTGTTTGAGCGCTGAGTATATGAAGGTGCTTATTTTTCAAGATATTTCGATTTTTGTAATTTACACCCTCATAAATATGTGAAAATGAGAGGTCACAGTGTATATGAGACATAATTCATGAGCATTCAAGACTAACCCCCCTGTAGACTCCATCATGCAATAACCACAAAGGTTAGTACAGTGTATTATCCTTCTTTTCCCACTTTTGCCACTTTCCAGCAATCAAAATCTACTAACACTGATAATAATGAAGCTCTGGCTCTGCAGACATATTTGGTTAATTTAACAATTGGGGCAATATGGTACCTAAATAAAAACATTTTATTTTACTATTCCAAAAAGTACAAGAAGCAGCCTTATAACACTTAAACAGACAACCCTAAAGACATAGTTCGGGATTTTTGAAGTGGTGCTGTATAAGGCTGTATAAAGCTGCAATAGATGGCAGTCAGCTTTTACCCAGTTTGGAGAAGCAGAGATATATCGGGCAGCGTTATATAGTGCACATCCAGGTTGTGCTTATGCGTAGGAATATGGAAAATCTACAGTTGAGAAAGGAAATGGTCTGCCAGCAATGGAAAGAGCTGAAAATATGAAAAAATACCGTACTCTCAAACTTATATAGATTTTTTTGGTGGGTTTTGCTTTTAGGTGGCTTAAATGCTGGTGACCCTGTCCACAGCAGTACTTTGCTTAGTTTCTCTGCCGGTACAACTTTCTCCTTCCCCAAACTGGAGACACTCGCGCCGCCATCTACTGCATGTAATACACTTGCGAGGGATGAGTACCTCATTCAGCCCCATGTCAGAAATCCCAAACTTTCCCATTAAAACAATAAGCTTTAGTTTATTGCATGTTAGCTTGCATCAGTCTACATCACAGTTTTGCAGTTTCCGCAAATAATGCGGACCCTCTGGCTAGGTAGAGCCGTTATCGTTCATGGCTGCTGAAAAACAAGTGGTTTTTTTTATTGTAAAATGACTGCAAAGCGCAGGCCCGAGTGGCATTGGTCATAAAATACTTAATATGCATTCTCTTAAAAGACCTCAATTGTTGAGTGAAAAATGTAATTTGTTGGCTAAGTGAAACGGTTAGTAAGGAATACATAAGTAGTGTAAGTATGAATTATTATTTATTATCAACTCAGTTACATGCTATATGGTCACAGATGTAATACTAAATGTGATTTAGTCAATCTGAACCAAAGACTGCATCTAGATGTTTTAACTGTTAATAAATTACTAAAGTACAGTATAAAGTAGAGTGAAATATTCACTGTATGTACATCAAAACTGTGTCCCACCATAGGACCATAGATAAACAAGCTACCTGGTGGTGTTTTCCCAGGGTGGTGTTGATGTTTTGGGGGCAGTGAGCCTCTTCTAGGGTTCTTCTGGCTGCTGGCTGGTCCTGCTCATCACTAAAGGAAGACACCAATCTGGAGAGGGCTCTCAAGATGGACATGGCCTGCTCAGTGAAACGAGCACTTTCCTGTTTAAAATAGGTAAGCAGTGGGGAAGCATTACAATGTTGTTTATCAAATTAAATGGAATGCAAGTTAAATAAAAGACAAGCAGAACTCCCACAATACCAATATACTTTGGTGAATTTCAATGGAACACATCAGGATTGTTACAGGAAATCTGCTATAAAAATCTTTGTTTTTCTCACATGCATGAGACTACCATCGTACCCATTGTTTCTCACATGAAAATTTGAAAATATTATACATATAGCAACACAAACATCAGGCTAAAAAGTAAGAAAGCAGAGGCATCATCTTACTAACATGCTGTAATTTTATAAATTGAAGCTGAAATGAATTCTATTCAAAAAATTTTTCAAGGCAATTTCATTCAGTCCGTCTCTATGTCCGACCAAGGTCTGCACTTTGTATTGTCACTATTGTTCCAAGATTCCTTTTTTCCAACACATATCCAGATGAAAAATATCAACCTTTTTTCTCAAAAGCATGAAAGGATTGTGCAGCCTTGGCAGAGGTGCTGATGCTCTGAGTGCTTTCTACTTCATTTGTTTAGTCACCACTGTATTTCTCACACACTATATGCCTCTCTCAGGGCCTTTTTGTTTTTGTGTATTGTGACTAATTTCAGCTTTTTATAAGTGAGGAAGTGACTGGAAGACTGAAAAGGAAATTAAAGGCAATATGCAGAAAGTTACATGTTAAGGTGTAACTACCTTGTAGCAGCAGATGACAGAAAATGTTAGACTGGATGGTATGTTGAAGGGCTATTGTGTGTATTTAGACATAAGAAAAAGAAAAACTGTCATGTATTGTTAACTTTACTGTACTGTACTCCAGCTGTGGTGGACCCCTCAGTTGTAAAGTTGCATCCACAGATAAATAATTTTTATTTTAAATTAACATTCCTTATTCAGCAAACAAACTAAAAAGACCTCTCAACTTATGTGTTGTGAAATTTCTCTCAGTGTCAATGGACTGTCAAATAATATCAAAGACCCTTGTCACCTTAGTAAGGTGTGACATGATGGTTTCTTCATCCCCAAAGATTAAAGGCATCTTGCTGCACAGGTGAATGTGGTAGCCCACTGCTGCCTTTGCGTGGAAGGACAACACATTCCGCCTGGAGTGGACAGAAAGGAAACAGAGCATTTTGAAAACAGGAACACTTTACTGCACACTATAAGTTACTCTAAAACAGCAATTCCCAATCTTTCTGACTTGTGACCCTTTATAAAGACTGTATTGCCTATTCATGACTCCTCTTCATAGGCTCCATTGTTGCTACCGGTGTTTTGCCTTGTCAAAAAATGCTACCGTAGCGCAAATCGATAGCAGAGTCTATCGAGTCCCTCTGCCCTATCGAAAAAATGCTACCTTATGTGTTACCATTTCCAATCCCATAAAGGTATAACTCTGATTATATTATAACATCATTTCAGGGGTAGCGTATTCTGATTCTGACTAATATCCCCTGTCAAATAATGCTCCCACTACAGAATAATTTTATATTACACCACTACTCACTCCGTGTGTACTGTAAGGAGATGGGGAGCATGTTGAAATACTATATTATCCCATCTTTAATTAAGATATCAGGGGTAGCGTATTCTGATAGACTAATAATTATTTTCTTTTTGATATTGCTGACGATCAGCCACTGTCTCGACGGCATGCCCAACAGCAAGGTTGCACAGATTTATGGCCATGGTAACAGACCACGCTTATGGGTCGTGAGCAAGCGCAGAACCTTTAAGGTAGCATAAACTGACAGAACACCGCTTCAAACAAAGAGTGAGCCTTCTTAGTTTTAACGATTTAGAGGGCTGCAGAAAGTTTAAATTTCGCATCTTAAAAAAAGTTAAAAGTAGACAAACAGAAAGACAACATTATTTGTGACGCAGCAATATTTTTATCTTTATGTTCATCTCATGACCTCTCCAATTTATCTTGCGACCCCCCAAAAAAGTTATTTGTCTGAAGCAGTGGTTCCCAGCCTTGGGGATTGGGAACCACTGCTTCAGACAATTCATTTTGTTTTGTCATTGCAATTACTGAGTAGAACAATATCTAAATATTTGGTTTCTAAATAAATGAAAGTAATAGTAAGGAGTACAGAGGTATCCATATACAGTTTTTGGTAATAGTAATTGTACAATCAGAGGGAAAATGCATTCAACAACAGTGAATTCAACTGAATAAAATCCCTTTTTAATCTTAATAGTGGAACTATGTTTCTGTCAAGTGGCACTGAGTGGGTCAAACAGTCAGAAGTGCTGTAGCCTAGCCTGAGTTTCTAGGGCCTGGTCAGGCATGAGAGTGGATCCCCACTTCCCTGGCCCCATTAGCTTAACATAATTCAGCCATCATAGTCTAACTAGATGGATGAGCACTGAGGCGGAGCTGGGCTAGTGCTGTAGAAGAACAGGACAGCATTCAAAAGGGAAACTGATGGGAGAAAAAGAAAAGGCAGCGACGAGAATGGGAGAGAAAGAATAAAAGAAGTGTAAAGGGAGATGTAAAAAGGCAAGACAAAAAGCTCTAGATTAAAAAAGGACTGTATGTTCAAATAATATAGAAGAAGAAATCAGACACAATCAGTGGACAGACTCAAAAAAATAACACATTGGCAAAATAGTGTACCACATACAGCAACATTCAAAGAGAAAAAGAAGAAAAAAGAAGAAAGTTATTATCTCTTGGAAAAAGTGTACTATGGGGCATATGGGCATGATAAGTTGAGTGCTATGTATGTGATTATGGCTCAGTGGTAATTGCACTGCTGCATACCTGCGCCTGACCCCAGAAACTAGGCCCTCTGCTTCTAGGCCAAGTAGCACCCATTAATAGAGACTAGGACAGATGATTTTTACTGCTTTTCAGAGCATCTGAGGTAGGCAGATATCCTCTGCTCACTTTATGATTAAGCTTTAAGGAGATCTATGCATAGCTGTAAAAATGACAACAAGAGTCAAACTCTTCCTTTCATCAAAATACCCTATGGGTGCTGTGCAAAAAAAAGCATACATTTTTAAAACAGATTTCCATGGTGGGAATTAAACCTCTATCCTTGGCAGCATTAGTTGCCGTGCTGACGAAGATGTCAATATTTTTTAATAACAGATACAAGAATCAAAGTACTATCATACCATATCAAATATTGTAGTATTGTAAGTATGAAATGTCATACTAAAGGATATACTACTGTGGTCTTAACTAATGGTAATCCTGATTAACATAAAAGTCATAATTATTACACATTACAGAGTCTAGAAAAATAGATTTGTGACATCCTAGTCGGTGCCATCTTATGAACTTAATCTTAGCTTTTCATTTTGATCAATACAGTACACAGCTCTCAGTAGTAGCTCAATGCTGTCCTACCCTGCTGGTAAGTTAAGCATTTTTGCCTTTGAGGAGGTGGTCTTGATGGTGAGAACTGGCAGCTGAGAGCGCAAGCTTTTCCAGGAGTATGACTGGGCGATGAGGACTGCAGACCCACACGCTGCTGACATTTCCTTTTCTATGAGTTGTCATAGAGTGGAGAGAAAAGTGTACTAGTCACACACCACTGGGGACTGCAGATGTAAATTAGCCTAAGGCTAACTCTGGTGTAATGCATCAAATGTTTACATTTATGTTATTAATTGCACATGGTCCCTTCTAAATAAAAATCAATCAATCAATCAAACCACAATCAAATATCAGAAACACTGTAGGTCAAATTCATAAAATGTTCATTCATTGTTGTTTTTTATGAATATTTGTACACTGCACTTTATATCACCAATACAGTTATAGTTTATATAGATTTTTATAGTTTGTATGGATTTTTGCATGCACAGATAGAGAGTTATAACTGCTGTTAAAGACTTGAGTCAAGCTCCTTACGTTACTTGCTATATCAGAAAATCCTTTTGTATCTGATTATCTATGTCTTTGTGTGCATGTGTGTGTGTGCATGCATATAAACCCTTACTCTCCTCAGCTGTATCCCCCCTGAGAAGCAGAGCAGAGAAGCTGATGAGGATCTGGGAAGGTTGTAGGCTGTCCACACACAGGTAGTGAGTGCCTCTCACCTCTGGACACTGGAGGGGAAATGCACAAACACACACACTGGCCTTAGTTATCAGTACGAATGCTGATAAGGAGAGGAACAAGTGAAAGAGAGAAAGAGCAGAAAGCCGTATGGAGGGTGATGGATAAACTGATAGAAGGATGGCTTAGTGGAAGAGAAGCTGGAGGAAAACCCAGAGGAATAGATGTATCAAGGGGAGACAGAAAAGAGCTGAGTGAGTTAAAGAAGCATCTGAGGTGACACCTGAATAGAAGTGGCCAAAGCGGTAAATTTGGTAATGTAAGAAAAAGCAGTCAGTAAGAAAGACAAAGCAGGGGACAAAGAGAGGGGCAGAAAATGCAGATAGAGAACAAGAGAAGAGGGAGAATGCATACGTGTCTAGAATGACTAGTTACTTATTAGTCGGTGCGATGACATTGTCCTGTTGAGTTTTTATGCCAATGGTTTTACACTATTCCACTCATCTGTGGAATAGTAAAATCTCATCTAACACACCAAGAAATTTAGCAATTCGCCATCAAAGGCATAGTAGAAGGAGACTGCAAGCTAGTTAGCATAGATGTAAAGAATTCTGGATTTAAAATACTAAAAATTAGCTCTACTATACCACAAGGATACACACAATACATTTTTGTGTATCCTTCACTCCACAGGGCACCTTCAACTCATCATTAGTGGGTACTGTGTACTAGGGGTGTCGAAGATTCGATAGGCGGAGCCTGATTCAACTCACAACCTCACAGCTGAATCTTCACAGAGCGTTATAAAACGAGGATCAAACGATTTTGGCTATATGGGGGTGCTCAACTTCTGATTTTACAAAGAACTACCTGTTTTATCTGGTTTTATCCCAAAAACTTATAAATACAATATACAGCCTATTATGATATAAATATCAACATATGATGCCGTAAATAAACATGTGAAAATAAAGAAGCGTTTTAGAAATCTTTTGAAAGTATGTCAATAAGTAGAGACTGCAGCTCTGCAGCTTCTCAAACCCCCCCTGATGCACACACACTGATTCACCAGTCGACTATAGGCAATCATTGACAATTCTGATTAGACTATGTAAATCCTTCGTCAGGGACAGCCCTACTATGTACAGGGTTGAATTCATGTGTGAGTTTGTGTGTGTGTACTTCAGGACTTGCTACAGTAGATGTCACAGGGATAGATCCGGTGGCAAGAGTAGATGTTGTTGTTGCAGTTTTGGACAAGACAGTGCTCTGCAGACATCAACAGTTAAATTAATAATATATCCAATATTAACAGCATTAATATGTCAAAGCACAAATACATGGAATCGTGCGGGAAAATAAATGGAAAACTTATAAAGTACCAGCACTGGAGACTGAATATGCAGAAATTAGTCACTGAGTTATTTCGTTATACACACTGTACCTTAAGCTGAGATTTCTGGATATGATGTGGGTAGAACTGTGGTTTATGGAACACAAAGAGAGTCCTGGAAGGAAAACATGAATAAATGCCAGTTAGTTGAGCTTAGTTGATAAAAGCAATTTTAATCATGAACATGTATTTTTTCTGGCCCCCCAATCATACTTTTTTCACAACTGTCTATATTTATCTATTCGAACAGTATGTTTGCAGTGCATAAGTAAATATCTGTGTCTATGTGTGCGTGTGTGTGTGTGTGTATCTCACTGAAAACATTTAGCAAAGTCATCCAGGTCCACCCAGGTCTCCTGCAGGATGGGTTTGACAGTAGGTGAGGGTTCCTCAGTTACAGGGTCACTCATTGCAGTTTTAGGCCGATCTGGAAGAAAGGTTCATATTCCTCTTTAGGCTGAAACTATTTGTGTTTATATAAACATTTTTTGTTTACTAAGACATTTTGTGTAAGGTAGCAGGTTTTCAGTATGCACCCGCTGAGCTGAGAGATGGATTAAAAAGTAAGTAAAGTATTTAACATTGTTCATTATTGCTACACAAATCTACAGCCTCTTGTATAGGAAAAATAAGTCCTTATCAAGTTGATTAGATGCTTTCCATGCCAAACTCAGAGGTGGAAATGGGGGGAACGCATGGGAACAAATGAATGCTGTTCCGGGAGTAGGGGGAAATCAGTTCTAGCTGTTTTACACTGCTTCTAAAGCATGCTCATGAAACAAATACAATTTACTGTGCTTGAACGCACCACAAATCCAGCTACTGTCCATACAGCCGATGGGTAGGCGTGACATTGCAGGCTCCCTGGAACCTTCCCCAAAGTAGCATTTCTGTCTCAGTGTTACTGGCTACATGTATCCTGGAAGCTGCAGTGATGTTGACATGTACGCACCCTGCGTTTCTGATGCATTAAAATCCGAAAGGACGCATTAAACTCACTATAGACATGTACAGGGAATGTGCCCGTTTTTCCCCCATGAGTATGCTAATGTTACATTGTGAACAACAAATCTGTGTTGAAATCATTAAAATCCTGTTCTCTGTGAGCTCCTATACACACACACACACACACAGCAGAGCAGAGAGGCCGCCCTGAAGAAGCGAACCAGGTGAAGATAACGCCAAAATTACTCAAGTTGATAACTGTTATTACTCAAGTTCACAACTGTAATTGTTACTGTACCTTGAAATTAAAAAGCCAATACTTAATCAATACACCTGTTCAATAAGTATAAACATGTGCAAAACATATAGTATGTAAACGTTGCTATTATAGTTGCTGCTCTAGAAACAACATTTAGTTATATTTAAAAATAATAATAATAATGAATATATATATATATATATTCTTTTTATACATAAAACACAAAAGGAATGAAAAAGAACCAAGAGCATTGATAGAGAAGTGAACCCACATAAGTCGTAGTATTGATAAAATTCAAATGATACCCATCCCTAAACATGAGTTTAACACTACAGTTTATCAAAAAACACACATTTTATTGCGGACCCACTCAATTTTCCTGGAACTGACTCAAATGACCACCGTGGGTCCAGGAGAGAACATGTTTTTGGAAAGCATCATCAAGTCTGCCATCAAGAAAATAATCAGTAGTAGTAAGATTTTTTTATGCAGCTCTCATGATAATAAGTATAATCAACAATAATTTGTTTATAAAACCCAAGTATGGTTCCCCCAGTAAAATGTGGAAATTTCCACAACTGGTCACACTTAAAACCAAATAGATACAGAATTGTTTGTGAAATCTCCCATTTCAAAATGCTGCGAGTAACAAAATGACTTTCCTCTTGTGACTCAGAGCAAGTTATCCTAGACTCAAATCATTATCTGAAACACAGTGAGCCAAATTGGCCAAACTCCCACATAATGGCATAGTGTAAGCGCACATGCACATCCAAACTCCCACTCACTGACTCCCACTATCTCAACGCATGCAGAGCAAAGTCATAGACATATGCACATGGACACACTGTCCACCCAGAAGCACACGCACGCACGCACGCCCACACACACGCACACACGCACACACACACACACACACACACTCTGCCCCCAAGCTCTTCTCAAAGCGAGAAGTCTGATCAGAAAGCTGAGGTGGCGAGGGCCAGTGTCTCTGCTGCTGAGTAATGGTGGTCCGCTAACTCAAACTGCAGGTGTTACTAAGCAACTAAACGAGGGCAGAAAGAAGGCAGGGAGTTGGCTGGTTGTCATAACGGATCATTTCAGTCCCATCTTCTTCAAAGTGTCTTGGCCAAGCGATGGAAGCATGGAGAGAAAGATGGAGGGAGTGGAGGCGAGATATGCAAATACTTCTAATCACATTAATTGGACTATGCTGCACAGAGGCTGTCCAAGTCAACCAATGAAGAAGTCCTTCAGTACAAGCCTAATATTTCACTACAAGGCAATCTTATGTACTGATACAGTGCAGATTATTTTGAACATAAATGAGGGGCCCAGCATCGGAACAGCTTTTACCATTGGAGATGCCATCATCGTCCTTCTTGCTGTCCTCTGCAGTAACCTAAAGGGACAGAGAGGGAGAGAGAGAGGAAAAGAGAGAGAGAGTTAGAGAGGCATGAACAGTGAGTTGCTGATAGAGTAACACTGCCAGGGATACGCCTCCACCCTCTAGTGATTCCATGCCAGCTGTGGTGTTGCGCCATTCTCGCCGAACACCACAGGACACAAGACACGGTCTAATGTGACATGGCCTGCTCCTCTCCTGCTAAAAACACCACCAGAGAATACCAGCTCTAATTTACTTTGACTGTCAGTGACAGATGAGGAGTTATTATGTTGTTTAAGATGTGACTCTCTTAGAGGGGAATTACTCAACAGCTCTGATTTCATGCTTCGTCTGCCCAACACAATAAAAATATATCTAATGAGTCATTATCAAATCCTTTAAATACCCTATTCCTCTGTCTGAGCAAGGCAGGAGATGATGTGGTCTTAAAAAGGAAATCCACTGCTGATTTCATAACAAAGCTAGATTTCAACATTATACAGGAGTGGTACACCTGTATCAACTAGCTGAAATTTGCTCCACGCCCCTCTCCATCTGACGTTTCTTGTTCTTCACCAAATAATGCTCCCTTGAGGAAAAATCCTGGTGAATGTGAAACAGTTTACTCTGCTCTGAATAAGAATTATGGCTTTGTCTCGTGTAACTTCAAAGCAACCCCAGCCAAGACTCTCTAATGAGTCAGAGTCAAAGTGTGTGTGTGTGTGTGTGTGTGAGTCACCACTTATTTGAATAAGTACCCAGAGACCCAGACAGATGGAAAGAGGCATTGTGATTGGGAGGCACACTTGATCTCCTCTCCACCTCTACAGCAACACTTTCAGAGCAACAAAGACATGAAAATGGGTGTGTGTGCGTGTGTGTGTGTGTTTTCACAAGAGTGCACATAACTTCAAGTCAAGAGTCAAGATCTAAGGCAGGGTATGTCTTGTCCACTCACAGCATGCCATTTTATTAGATCGCTTACCTGTGTATAGTAAGAGGACATAGAGACTGACAGTTACACACAAGACTCCTGGGATCTGAAGTTGCTGCTTTCGGGGGGGAGACAGCAATTTCTTTTTCAAATCACAGTCATGGGTTGATGGATGGGAGAGGGTGCATTTCTTTCTTTCCCACACTTCATGGGGCTTTTTTTCCACAGCCAGAGTTGAGTCGTTGTTCTCCAAGAGACTCTCTTCAGATTTCACATTTCCCCCTGAAGTGTAACCCATTTTATACATGAAAAGTTAAAGATCTCATTGTGGCTATTCCCGGCTCACAGGCACAAGGAAATCCATAGGAGCCCAGACTGGACTTTGGGAAGTGTAGTTCTCTGGCACAAGGAAACTGAAACCATGCAGGGGCTTTGGTGATTTAGTGATTAAACACATTCCAAGCATATTACAGGTTAAAACAGCACAGTTACGACATCAGGATCTAATTCTTTAACCCACGCTAATGTTGAGTGAGTAGACCATTGAGGGTATTAGGGACATCATGTGACACCACCTTCTTCTATTCTAGGAGCTAGGTACAGAGGTTGATACTGTTGGCCAGGGTTGACGTTCTTGCAAAGAGCAGGAACACACACGCTAAGTAAAAATGTGGCACACATATGACAAATACACAAAACCAATCCATACGGGTGCATGTGCGCACACACATCAAACGACACATCAAATTAGAGCGTCCATACTGCCCTAGCCTAACCGCTCTATAACTGGTCACAGTTACACAAGAGGGCGATTAATATGAACTCTATTTTTTCTCTGTATGCTAGGAGTGAAGTGTAATAATGATCCCCCCAGGAGACGCAGACACTGATGGCTCACCATCTAATTGCACTGCTTTTTTCATCAGCACAGTACACGACCTCTCCCTGTATGAAAACCCACACGTTCCGTTCACTACCAGCACACACCACACATTCTGTTTTCCCATCTCCCTCTGCACCGCTTTCATCTCTCCCTGTCACATATTTTTCATTTTTCACTTGTCCCCCCCTTTATACCTCTCTATCTTTGCTTCTATCCTCGTCTCTGTGTCTGTCTGTGTCTCTCGGCTGCTGCTGCTCTGACCCCCCCCCAACCGCCAACCTCCAATCTCCTTTCCCTCACTGGTTCTCTCTTTAGTGCAGATGTGCCCCTGGTCAGTAGTGGCCTGGCTGGGAGACAACAGAAGTGACTTTGAGACTGGGGGATGGCAGCCTTGTTGTCACTGACACACCGAGATACTGTTGAGCCTTCAACTGCATACTTACAGGGCAGACAGAGGGGTGAGAGAGGAAAAAATGGAGCGAGGAAATAACAAGAAGAGGCAACAAAATTTTGTGTACAGCTGCTACTGTCTTAGTTTTTCGACATGTAGCATAACTCTGTGCTTCACTGATCGTCATTGCTATTTTAATAAGTGACTAGGGGTAACCACAATTAATTTAGGTTCTATATTCAACAACAACATGACAGTAATTCCATGTACCTCTATTTTGTCTGTTGTGCTGTTCGGTGAGTTAGTGGTGCGTTCAGCTCCATCGGGCTCAAGGCCTTCTCGACATTCAGCCTCCTCTCTCTCAACAATGGACACCAGAGGGGATCCATAGGAACGCTTCCTCTCGGTGCTCTGCTTGGCCTCTCTGACACACAAAGACACGTTGATGCCACATATTATATGGACATACAGCACAAGCTTCCATATCGTAATCATAACACACAGGCAATCTCATCTCATGGTAACAGATTTAGAAGCAATACACCATATCATCTACAAATGAGTCACACATGTCACATTATTGACTGTAACATTGCTTTGATCTGTGATTTTATTTGCTTAAGTTGGCAACCATTCCCTTCAGTGTAAAAGTCAAGTTAGAACAAAAATGCCCATATAGTTTCAATGTTTCAATTGCTATTTGTCTGTCATTGTGAAGGGGGAAAGATGAGACAAGACTGAGATACAGCAAGATGATGTGAGAAAGAGTGATGTGATCATGAAAATGTACTTTTTTGATCCCTAGATGGAAGCTTCCTCCACATTGAGGTCAGAGCTCAAAGTAGCTGTAGAACATTGAAATACTCCAGAACAACACAGTTCAGTGGGCAAAAGAGCAGGACAACAGAAAAGACCCATCTCGTTTAATTTCTCAGTTTTAGATCATTTCAGTGTACGTACAGCTCAGGGGTTGGGCCAACGCCGCTCTTGACATGGTAGGAGAGAAATGGGCTGGCAACTTCAATGAACTTCTCTGGTTTTGACAAAGGAAGCTCTGTGAAAAGAGAAGAGTAAAAAATCTCACACATCATGCCAGCACTGCTTTTTTACTTCTGACTCCTTTTTACTGCATTTTCTGTTTCACAGCTGAGATCAGCTGATGTCAGCTATGCCCAAGCCAGCGGCTATTTTTATTACAGAAATATTGTAGCAATCCTTCTCTTTTTCTTCATTTCAGCATGCAGTACTGTATGCCCCCTGTACTGTAGGTTCAAAACCCCCTGCATTAGCACTCGCTTTCCTTTCTAGTCATATTTATTCATGAAATTCACCTACACACTATCATATAATTTGTGCTTTTCTATTTGTTTGATATCCTCCCCTGCATCCTCCTCCTGGTTTCCCCTTTACCACCTTTTTTTCCAAACTTAATTTTAACATTTTTGTATATTTTTTTTTTATTTCCTGCCTCCTTCTCTGTCTCTCACGCACTCTGCGGTTCATCGGTGACCACGCTCTCCTTGCGCTGGCGGATGAGTTTCCATCTGGGCACAGGTGGAGGTTTGGGTGGTGGCTCCAGCTGGCATGCCCGGGTTCTGGTCAACAGGACAATGTGGCTGTGCAGCAAGGAGAGACCGTACTGACGAAGAAACTCTGAGGAGTTTGCCTGCATTCCCGCATATAGACAACATATAAAATAATAAATACACATGCAGTACTCACTCATGAACATTAAAAATGCAGGTCAAAACGCATTCCCTCATACGGTGAATTATTGTCACCTGTAACCAACTCTAAAGCTGAATCAAGATTGGGATTCTGTCCCAGGATCAGTGTGTGGAGGTGACATAACATCTCTAACAGAGGAAAATCCTTGAAACTGTCCACCAATTAGCCATACCATGGGTGTAAATAATAAAACAAGCAAAGCCTGTTGAGGCAAAGCATCCAAATAGAACACACCAAGCCCCCAGGTCACAGGCACTGTTATGTTTGATCTCTACCACCCACTGTTCTATGGGGCTTCAATACATTTTCCCATTACTGTGCTATTTAACAAGTGATTGAGACAGTATATATTTCTTAAAAGTATTGAAAAACAATATGTTTTCACATTTAGCGTAAAATCCTTATTATGAGTGAATTAACTGAATAAAATTTGACCATTTAAAAATGATTCTGTCTTTATGTTTTTTTGGATCCACATGGGTCAACACAAAAAATAGCAAGAATTTCTCCGTGAAGGTTGGACCTTAAATGTACCCTTTGTACTGCTTAGATCATAAATACAACTTCTAACATTAGAGTTGAAACACTCATGTAGACATTTGCAGATTGCATCCAGATTAGGTTGCATGTATACTTTTTAAATCTGCATTCAAGATCTGACTACAATCTACAACAGCTGAAATCTAATTTCCTTGGATGCAAATGTGTCTTGTAGCGGTGTGACTGAAGTAGAAAACTTGTACTGAATGAGCAAGTGTATGCATAAGGAGGAGGAGTGGACATACCATTTGTCCAAACCCAAAGGAATTGTTATGTGGCTGTAAAGGGGAGCAGCTGGCACACACCACTAACTCGGGGGTACCTGAGAAAAACACACAAAGAAGACTAACATAAGGTCAAACCAATAGTCATCCGCAAACTCGCACAAACACACATAAGCACATGCACTCAACATGGACAAAAAATAGATATACTCCCACTGTATGTATGTTTCTGAGAGACTGATATTACTGAGTGACTCTGATTAAACATATTGATATAGTGAAACATAGTGCCACGTGACAATTGAAAAATAAAGGACTATACAAATTTACATAAAGTGAAAGCACTATTGGCCTCCACAAGTATAACTATGAGACCATGAAAGTATCTAGGTTATCTATGGATGGCCCTGCCCCTATGGTGCATTTTAGAGTATATTGTATAGGGAACATGTGAGCCAAGAGACATGGAAAATCAATTTGAAGGACCATGATGAAGAGAGATGTGAGCACTGCCAGAGTAATATAAAGGCAAGGCTACACATTAAGAATTGAACAGAGATGTGGTTCTCTTACTGCATAGTGATTTATGCATTTATATGGAATATGACAGTGAACACCAAACAGTGAGAGAAAAAGAATGTGTAGGGTTTTTTGTGTGTGTTTGCACCATGTGATGCACTTCCCTAAAGCATACACGTTTTGTGAATTAATACCAATTTGTCCGCGCGTGTCATTACAGTATGTTAATAATCCATCAGTTTAATTATTGTGAACAAGTGGGATTGTAGGAGAGACCAAGGGACGTATTACTGTCAGGAAGAGCAGGTGGGTAAGCAGGAGAGCATCAGAGAAGACACTGAATTCACACAGTGGCCCAATCATCACAAAATGTCATGATGTTGTTGAACGTGTAAATATTTTGAAGACAATTTAAATTATAATACAAGAAGAAAACATTGTCTCACCTTTTTGTCACTTTACACTCTTTAGAATTAACCGGGTTTGTAGAGATACATTTTGCACAATGCAAGTATGATTAACATGCTGAGGATGATCGCAGCTTTTTGCCATTTTTTATTAAGAATTACAAATAAATGAATTGCACAACCTTCATAAAGTCTTTACGGTATTTCTCTACCTCAATGACCTAAAACAACTCTAAGCCACACACTCTTTTCTGAGGACATGTTTCGATCCCCACACTTTACTTGGTGGGCTCTTCTGCCCTGCAGGAACACCAAATAATTCACCCTGTCACTGCTTCCTCTGCTGGTTTATTTATAGCCCATCGTACATGAATTAACCCTCCCTGCGCTCTATAATACATGAGCACGTGAAAACAGGAAGTGATGCTTGAAACAACAGGAAAGAGGCAGCTGGGCACAGGCTGACTGACGAAATGTAGGCATTTTGAAGTATAGCAGGATAGTGACCTTGGGGTTTTCCCCAGTCCTAAAGTAAATCATCAAGCAATACTATGAATGTTGCAAAGGTATAAGGGTTATTACTGCTATACACTGAATATTCATTGTCATGCTCCACACTACTTGAATATGGATGCAGAGGGAGAAAAATAGAGATTTACACACCTATGTACAAATAGTAGTGCTGCACATCTACACAAACATACAACACATATATATCATTTTACAAACAACCCGCACATAAATGATCACAACCTAACGCATGATTGATTGAATTGACTCACTTAATTTAAGATGCAAGCTCAGTGTATAATTGAGATGTATCTTTGAGAGTATGCATGTGGCCATAATTTTGTGCCTTTCTGTGTCTGCGTGTGTGTGTGGGTGTGTGTGTGTATGTGTCTGACTGTGGCATAATTCAGACCTTTGCTTTTCTCTGGTTCTGGCAGCTGACTCTTGTGGTCAATAAAGCTGGAATCTCTCCCTGCAGCTGGATCTGCAGTCTGAGGCTTCGTCTCCAGCAAACTCTCATCTGGGAGTGTAAATATGGGAATGGTGTCTTGTAAGAAATCCCAGGTTTTTCTCAGGTGTACCGACCTGAGAGGAGGTTAAATAAATTATTATTGGTTACAGGCTGCAGGGGATGAGATCAAAATAATATATATATTTTAGCCAGTTTTGACTGGAATTTGTTTGCTTGTGAATTTTTATTTGTACAAAACAAAATTATAACCTTTGAGCAAGCAAACAAGCACTGATATTAGGCCCTCTTGTCTGTTGAGCTTATAACACTTATGACACCATTACTGCCCTGATATTAGATGAAGTCTACTGCTTCTGCACTATGTCTTAGAGCTAAGTCTGCTGCTGTTTCTGTTGCTCTACTGTCCCTCTATTTGCAATACAATGAGGCTGCAGTTCTTACATCAGCATTTCTCTCTCACTTGAAAATAAAGTACATAATACTATCTTCTCTCTGTGTGAACACAGCCTTTAGAAGATCTTTTTGAACTGAAGGCAAGGCAACTTTATTTGTATAGCACACTTCATACACAAAGCCAATTCAAAGCGCTTTACATTATGCATTAAAACATTTTTTTAAAACTGCATAAAAACATCGAAATGCAAATTAAAGTAACAAAGACCTTTTTAAAGGAAAATGAACCTCCCTGACTCGTCTGAACATATTGAAGAAAGCAGTGAGGAATGAAGCTGGAGCAGGTTCCTAGCCTCCTTACCATGCCAGATTTATGGGTCATCTCAGTACAGCATGGTGCGAAGCAGGTTAGTATACCAGAATCAGTGAGCATCTTTTTTAAGTGTGATTAGTGAGTGAAAGACACGTTAATTTATTTGAAGGACAACACTTTGTTGTTCGTTTAAAAATGCAACTTTTCTTGTCATTCCAATGTAAGGAGAACATGTAAAAATCTGACATATCATATTCCCACTGCGGTTTGTGTATGTAATTCTCCTTTTTAAGTAGGTCAACCTAAAAATAAATACTGTAGTTCCTCCAACATGTTAGCTCTCCGATTGTGGAAGATAGTGACGGTTGCTGATAATGATGCACCTGAGCATTATACTGTATGTACGGATAAAAAAATACATACAACTTTGTTTACAGTTTCCTGGATTATAACAATGGCTCATCGGTGCTGATTGTAACTGTCAGCCACAATAAAACCTAAAATCCTAATCTGTAGGCTGTATGCAGAAAACCAAAATATCGGTAGAGTGTATAGTGTGTTGGTATGGGTGTGTGTGTACGTGCATGTAGGTCTGCAATCTCATGTGTCACAAATTGAAACAACACAAACCCAAACACAATCATGCTTAGTGCCTGTATATGTTGAGAGATTCCACAGGCGACCTACCAACAGCAGCTCACCTGCTGAGCTATAAAGAAAAACACTATCACTGACAAGCTGAGATTCTCCACTCCACAAGGCCTCTCCTCCTCCTTTATAAGATCTTCTTGTTTCCGTTTTAAAACTCGAACCATTTCTCCCAAAATGTGTCTTGTAGATAGATTAAATTACTTTGCTACAGTATATTTGTATAAAATAGTATACTTTAGATCAGATTAGATTAGATTCAACGTTATTGTCATTATGCAGATTACAGGTACAGAGCTGTATGTGTTGTTTTATTTTATTTTATTCTATATATTTTCATAGGAACTACAAACTTTCTTTTTGTTATACATCCTTGTGTTTTAGAATGATAAACAATCTACCTTGTACCTTGTGTGCATTTAGTGCCATAGCCGTTATTGTAATAAACTGCCAGAGATTAGTCTGAGAAGAAAAATAAAAGCAAAGAGAAGAGTGGGCATGTCAACCCTACTAACAAAGACACAATTAAGGGGGACACCTACATGTATGTATAATAATGAGAACAAAAGATGAAGAAGACAGAGGTATATGAGTGGAGTTGACCAATGAGGACCTTACTTTATAGGACTGGTTTCTGGGATCCAGCCGGTGAGGGCATGGATAAAGGTGAACTCCCCCATCTTCCCGAAGGCCTCTGACCCTGATCTGAGAAACAAACACCAAAAAACTGTATAAAAAAATGTGCAACAAGCTAAAGACTTAATTCAAACCTCATATAGTGGCACTGGCACTATTTTCACATGGATCTTGTGAGGTTATGGTTTCAGTATGTGAAAACCCCCACAATATGCTTCAAGTGACTCAACTCACCTTCAAAAAAATGGACTTCCACGCTCTCTTGTTTTCTGTCTTTACTTTAACATCATGTTTAGGTATGACAACAATGAGAGAACAAAGGTAACTGACCTACATAAACTATTTGTGATGAAAATTTGTACTGAAGAATCACAAATACCAAAACAATGAGATGTTCAAATTTACTTTTGTGATGGTGCCTTAAATGGTCATTTTATTACCAATTTACCAAACAGCAACAAGCTTATATAATGTATGTCTACACGTCAGCCAAACAGTTGTAGTAGTGCTGTCTTAACCAGCCTGGACTTTTTCTCTGTATGACTGAATGTTAATAGACTCAGCTTATCTTCTACAATTTGAAATTTGCCTGAAGTGTATTGCAACTACTATTTAAGTCTCTAGAACGGAAGAGTGTGTGAGAGAGTGTTTATGTATCCTTCACACACAAGTTCACTTGAAACAGATTGCTGCAGCAACTCTAATTGGTCCTCTTGGGATGTTGTGGCCAGCATGTCCAGTCCACAGTCATGACGTCCAAGGAAGTGAAATCAGTACAGCTTGATCAATAATGCCACAGTCCATAACTACTACAAAAAAACTACTCAGCACCAAAGTGAAGGTGTCCTCAGATTCAGCTTTGAATTAAAATAACGACTAAGGCATTTCTGAGGCGCTGCAGCAGAGACCTGGGCAAAGTTTGGTACTAGTTTAGTACGAAGAACTTTCACTATGGCTCATAAATAATTCACTGGGAGAGAGGCTCCTTTGTTTCCTGTCTTGGATGAAACATTTATGTCTCAAACTTCTGTGGACACTGGAACAGCCACTTTTACACACGCCATATTGCCCCATCACAGACAGGCACACTGCCTGTCTGTCACCAAATTCAACACAGCACAAGGCAGAGATTAGGTCAGGTGAAGGTGAAGGTTCTAGTTCTTGTGCATGTGCGTGAGCTTTAAATTGTTTAGTTCACTTCTTTAGGTACAACATGTGCGTACGTGTCAGCTAGGAAATGTACTGTGAATAAAATGAATAATTTGTTTGTATTAATTGAATTTCATTTAAAACTGGGCAATAGTACCACCCTGTACACTGCTTTATGTAAGCAGGGATAGCACAGAGTGTTAGTATACAGAGTAAGCGTGCACAGTGTGTGGTCTTATTAGAGTCAGGTTGCTTAGTGGGACATAAAATTGAGTTTGTTCTTTAGACCTCTTACTTTCAGACTAAACTATTTCCCAACTCCTTGGGGCAGTATTGAGGTGCTTACAGTTTGTGTTGGAATGTACATTAACTCACTTTGTGTTGGCCACTTTAATAAGAGCTTTAGCCAACAACATTGGCCACAGCTCTGACTGACAGGTGGAGGCGGGGAGAAGCAGGTTGTTTTCTTCATCAAATGGCATGGAATCATCTACTGTTACCTTTCTCCAACAACCCTAAAAGCAAGGAAGGAAGACATAGTGAGTGAAGATATGGTATGGTATCAATGCACCTCAAATAGTAGTTCTAAGAAATTAGACTGTATATTAGATGTGCAATTTTATTATGACTATAGCAAGATATATGGGACATTATGGGAAATAGAAGATTGATACCACTCTCGTGTCTGTACACTAAATACAGTTTGTAGCTACAGCCAGCAGCTGACTAACTTAACTGAGCATACGCACTGGAAACAGGGAGAAACAGCTTGCCTGGCTCTGTCTGAAGATATTTTCCAACAACCAGCATCTTTAAAACTCCCAATTAACATGTTAAGTCTGTATTGTTAAATTATTAAACAAATCAAAGTGTAAGAATGACAAATTTGCAGGGGTTTATCTGCCAGACCATTTTATGGTCAGGACAAGAAACTTCCTGGAGTCTCGACTGGTTGCCCGGCAAAAAAGCTTTAAACTCTCTTCAAGAAAGCAAATAAGGGAAAAAATCTTTAATGTAAAGTAAATTAATTATTTTAAGTTACTTTTGATTTGCATACCTTCCTTAAGTAAATACAATGTAATGAATTATTGAAAGATGAAGCCATATATAACTGATTGATTGCTTATTAACCGCTTAAGTTTCATCCATCCTCTTTGTTATTATCTCACTGATGCATCATCTGGTCAGCTACCAGCCATCCAATAACATCCATTAACATTCATACAAGTGTACTAGGCAGCTTTCATGACCTTACAATTCAAACTTTTATTTTGGATTTACCTTCGTGGCAACACTGTTTGCTGAGGCAGTTCCCTCCACCACCCCAAACCCCTCCCTATGTGCTAAGCTTTTGGTATTGTTGACTCTATTAGACTCTAATGTGCATGTATGTTAACAGGCTTCACTGAATCTCTACTAGTGTTTGTTCTACCAACTTCTTCTGTGAATAATATTATAACCATTTGCAACAAACACTGAATTTCTGGCTGAAATACCTGTTAGAGGAAGGTTGTCTGAACTCTCAATTTCTATTCCACCCCTCAGATCTAGTGACCAATCACTGCTCTACATTCCACACGCCCAGTTAAAAACCAAAAGTGGCCCAGCATTTTCACTAGTTGGCCCTAAATTGTGGAATAGTTTGCCACTAACAAATTAGATCTTACTCCTCCACAAATACATTTAAGACCACTCTCTTTTCTTTAGCCTCTTAATTGTCATCATTAAGACATACCTGGCCACACTCTGGTTTATCTTTGTTCGCATTTTATTTGTTGTTTGTGCAATGCTGTTTGTGTTTGTGTTTGTGAGATTTTATGCTTTTATCAATTGACTTATATCCTCTTATTTATGTCTATGTTTTTATTTGTTCAATTCTTTTATATTCTTTTTATTTATACTTGATCATTCAAGTATTCTGTAAAGCACTTTGGTCGACATTTGTTGTTTTTGAATGAATACATTTTGGTGGGGAGATAATTGCCTTTAAAAAGGTACTAAGAGGAGCTTATGTTATTGGCCATGACTAATATTCAATTCAATTTTATTTATATAGCGCCAAATCACAACAACAGTTATCTCACAGCGCTTTTCATAAAAGAGCAGGTCTAGACCGTACTCTATGATGCTATTTACAGAAGCCCAACAATACCAGCTCCTAATACACCTACTGCTAAATTTAAAATATTAAACTTCTCCTCCATGTTCCAAGTGTTCTGCAGGTGTGATTCAGATCATGACAGTAAGAACCAAAAGTGGATTTTTTTCCTAAACACCCAAAGTGTAACTCATCACCTCAGATTCTCTGTATGGGCTTCATATTCCAACACCTCTCCTAGCATTAACTACCTTATGCTCGCATCTTAGCATCCTGTTTGGTGTCAGAGCTTGTTACATGCTGTCTGTGGTGTGGTCTGTCTACTGGCCGTCTGGGGGAGTTTCACACTGCTTGTAAGAAAAAAGCAGCACAAGCTGGTGATAATCTGACTGACTGTTCGCAGCTGTGCCTTTCTTTATCTATCAGAGCAGTGTGCACAAGCAATGCAAGTCAATATAGAGTGCAGGCGAGCACACTCCCTTTCTTGCCATACTTCACTCCCTTGTCAAACCATCATCCCGAGGAGGAGCCCGATGTGTTCACAGATGGGGTAAAATACAGTGCGAAAGGACAAGTTAGCGGAGAGGGGAAGAAAAGGAGGAAAGGAGAGACAGAGTTTTAGGGTAAAATGAAACAAGGCGAGAAAATGGGAATGGGATGGATATTCACAGCGGTGTGAAGGAAAAAACATTTGGAAGAAGATTGGTGTGGAACAATAAACAATCATATGAGCAGGGTAAAAAATGAGTCAACTAAGAGCAAAAATAGGCAAAGAAACCAGAAGGGGGGCTGGGTGCCTAATGCCATCTCAACAACCATCTGTTAGCGTGCTATGGTTGGCACGGGGACTGCTGCCTACAACCGTGTCATGCTTACTTGTCAAGGCAAGAGTCACAGTGTTACAGAGCACCATCGCGTTTCGCTTTGTGTTCTTCACTTTCTCGCTTCTTCTAGTTCTGCTAGAAGTAGTTCCCTTTCTGAAATGACACACATATACTGAAACTCTCAGGCCAGAAACTTCAAGCTGTATCCCAATGCAAAGACGACCTTTATTTATGTATAATCCTTACACTTGTAGTGCATAAAGCCCTCCTTCCCAGGGTTGTGCCTACACTCATGGTCTTACTAGGTAAAAATATATAACTTGAGCCTTGTTCTCTGAGAAGCAGCTGACTCCTGTTAAGCCTTATCTATTCATCAGGCAAAGTATGAAGCCCAGCAGTGAGACAGATTGATTTGAGCTCTGAGTGGATACGGCTTTCTCATTCCTTCCCCCATCCAACCCTCAGTCCATCCCCATTCCCCTCTCATCTTCTGCCTCCTATGGGGTCTGCTGAACAATACAATGCAATTGTATGTCATCCATTGCCCTAAGTGTTTCTCTAAAAAATGTGTGATGAACAAAGAGGCATTGTGAAATACGGACTTCTGCAGTGAAAGCAAAACTTTAGTAGTGTGTATGTGTGTGCGCCATCCTCACCATCCAGTAGAGTCTGACCACGTATTTCCCATAGCTGTTGTAGAGTGGCACATGACCTTTCACCACCTTACACAAAGAGTAGACATGCTCCCAAGGTCTCCAAACATCTTGTTCTGTAGATGTGCAGTTATGCGCCCTCCAAACAATATAAATCTCACTTATCATCCACCTCATCAGCTTGACCGAAGATGGAGGAGAGAAGGGAGAGAAAAGTAATCACAAGTGTAACAATTACCCACCAATCAGCTGAATCATAAATTATCTGATTGATCATTCGCTAAATCAATAGGGCACTAGGGCATAATTCATTTCTGTCAATCCCGCTGTCTAATATCTGGGTGGACTGTCGGTGCAATGTTTAATAGAAAAGTAGAAAACAACAGTTGAAAACTAACCTCACTGCAAATCAGATGATCATTGGGGGAGATTAGGTCAAAGGTCATTTGATTTTCAACAACGGTGAGACCCTAAAAATAAAGCACATCATTGTTTTCATTGTAGGCACAGATGGGTCGATTTGTCTGAGAATGTTAGCACCTTCACACCCAGATGACTGACAGATGAATGTTCTGCACTCACGTGGTTATACAGTGTGTTGTTGATCAGAATGATTCACTACAATAACACAGTGATCAACAAGATGGAGACTATTGTCAAGTGGACAAGAATATGTGACCTACTTAATGCTTCTTTACTCATCCCAGGGCCTAAACTGGTCTAACCTCGCCATGATACTCCCAACACTGCGTCTGCAATGAATATTTCACTACCAAATTAATAGACTATCATGTTACTAATTAAATTTCAATTAATGGGCCAGGTGATAGTGAGAGAGATCAGCTGTGGGTCAAGGGAGATCGTGTTTTCTCCGAATCGTCACAGAAACTCTGCTTTGGAAATACAGACTGGTATAGCCCAATGAAGAGAGCTTCACAGTAAAGCTATTGCCTGCATCTGCACGGCTGACTGCTTTTGTGATTAGCCCGTGTTCCTCTTGTATGAAATTAATGAAACGCTTTTGACATCTTGAGTGAAAAGGCAGCTTGCGACCTGGCAAGAACTCATTCAAATGGCAGGAAGCTTCCAGTAACTGCTCAATACTGCACTGAGAGAGAGGGGTAACACAAAAGTGGAGTGATTAAAACTTCATTGGAGGTGACTAGAGAGCAGATTTCCTTAACTACATTTCACACTGTGTGGCAAAGAAATATACTTAATACATGTTAATACATGTAATGGCTGCAACCAACGGTTACTTAATAAATCGGTCACATTTTGATTAGGAGATTGATGGTTTAGTCTATGCGAGTCCGTGTAGTCTATTACTTTTTTATTCTACAAAATGTTAAATAAAGACAAATGACTACCAAAGTCTAAAGAAAGCAAATATTGTCTTCCATCCATCCATCCATCCATCGTCAACCGCTTATCCTGTGTACAGGGTCGCGGGGGGGCTGGAGCCAATCAAAGCTGACATCGGGCGCAAGGCGGGGTACACCCTGGACAGGTCGCCAGTCCATCGCAGGGCCACACATAGACGAACAACCACTCACGCTCACAATCACACCTAAGGACAATTTAGGGTCACCAATCAACCTAGCCTGCATGTCTTTGGATGGTGGGAGGAAGCCGGAGCACCCGGAGAGAACCCACGCTGACACGGGGAGAACATGCAAACTCCACACAGAAAGGCCGGGGAACCGGGGTTTGAACCCACCAAATATTGTCTTGGAATTGGTTAATTCTTTTTGACCAACGATCCAAAAACCCACATGTATTCAATCTACAATGATGAGAGGAAGCGGAAGAGCTGTTCTTGAAAAATTAAATGTGTATTTTTACATGAAAAATTATTTTATTAATACAAAAGTAAATTTCTATATTACCTACATTTTCTATCCAACAGCCCAGGTCTAAACCACTTTTCTCATTATACAGTGCCATGGACCAACTGTCATCATTTTCAAGCTGGGACTGGTAGATGTTTGCCATTTACTATCCCATTAGAAATTATATCATTAATATAGAAGCTTAAAGGTTACCTTGTTGACAATAAACTCTGTGGGACGCTTCCAAGAGTGCACTTTCAAAGATGGAGGTAGGGAAATTGTTCCCTCGGGATCTTCAAAAAATGGCTGCAGACGAAAGCAAACAAAGTGGATGCGAAATACAAGCACACAATGAACCAAGAATCTGCATGTAAAAATGAATCAGTTGTCAAGGATTTGAAGCAAATTATACAGTTTAACCTATACCGGTAAAATGTATGATGATGGCAAATGAATGAATAATCTATTAAGAGTTTAAAACATTTCATTCTCCAGATTTACAGGATTGTAACCCTTTGTCTTTCCATCTTCAGCTCCTTTACTTGAGTCCCATTTCTCCTTGCTGACTTCTGCATCATTCCACTCGGGCCAAATGGGGAATCTGCATCTCCACACGCCTCCTAGGCTCTCAGAGGAAGTGACTGCTAGGGATGCTGCTCTGAAATGATGACACACAGCTATTCATTTCATTTGTTCTTGGCTTCCCTTTTGTCAATATTTAGCAGCAATATTAGCCAGCTCAGTACCAAAGACTCAGTCTAGAGTAAACCCACCAAATCTGTTTGCTCTCTCTCATAGTGAGCTCAAAATGGTCTGATTTTGTTATGACGATCACAGACTGGGGGATTTACACATACACACACACGTGATGTATATCTCTTCTCAAGTGGCTCACGTTAACGTTAACGTTACTAGGTTTTTAACTTACAGCAACAGATAAGATAAGTTAGTCAGAGAGATAACTAAAGATAGTGTGCATTGTTGTATTAATGTTACATGTGACACAATAAAACAAGCCACATTTATATGTTGTGTAAGGTTATGTTATGATTAACAAACTCCCTGACTTCTTGTATATTTTGATTTTACGCAGCTAACGCCAACGTTAATGCGAACTAACTTACACAGATCACCTAACTAACGCTAACGTTCATTGCCAACATGAACCAAACTCACTCAGTCTGTCGGTCTGACAAAGACACTTTACTGGAGGAGGACTCCTTTTTCTTTGGTTGTGACTTGGACATTGCAACTGACCAAGGACCGAGCAAATCAAGGATCCTGCCGGGGAGCTGCGTTTGTTTGCTTATCTCACTGCTCTTGAAAGTTTAGGCGTTACTAAGCAACACAGCTTTAACATGGGCGGGGTCTGGAGCTATTGCATCACATGTTACCACAGCGACGAAAGGACAGATACTTCTCGTCTATTTACATAAAGTTACTTAAGAGATAGGAAACTTAAGGCCAAGCACCACAGTCAAATACGCGTTTTTCCACAACTTTACTTTTATCACAGTGAAACTTTACAAGCTGAATGACAACTGTTTTAAATTTTTTATATGCAAATGAGACATTTCATTAAATATGCACTGATTGCATATCACACAAATTAATTTTCCAGCACATTATTAAGAGTCAGTTGGATTTTGGTAGTTTTGTGATAATATACCAAATGAGAAGCCATTTACTGAAAGGTTTATCAAAATATTGTGTGTGTGTGTGTGTGTGTGGGGGGGGGGGTTATGGATTTCTTCAGAATATACCACTCATGTGAATGACCTTCCCCTGCTACATATTTACAGGTAAATATCACATGAAATGACATTGATAAAAATAAAAAAAATAAACTCTGTAGGTGTCTTGCTATGAGACCTCAGAAACAGTATGTAAATTTATGATGATCTAACCACCTTGAAGGGAGAAGAAAATGATTGGGTACAGGAAACAGTCAAAAGTCATTTCGTCTGTAAAAGATAACATGAACACATCATCTCTTATAGATATAGACTAGCTAACACTGTTCTCTAGAAAACGAACTTTCAAACGATTTATGATTGAATGTGAAGAGTTTTAACACCAGTTGGACTTTTATGTGCAAACAGACTCAGTATAAAATAGAAAATTATTTTTTTATATATTATTCAAAATTGTTTTGTACATTTTATGAAAGTATGGTAATAATAGTTGCAAAATAACTTGAAATCTGAAAATTGACAGATTAAAGCAAAATTTTGGACTGTGGTGTCTCGCCTTAAATGCCGCTATATAAAAACTGACAAAACAAACACCTATTAATAGACAAAATATAGCCTCAAGTTGTGCTGCAGAATTTAATCAATACCTTTCTAAGACCATCTTGATAAAAGTGTAAAGACTGCATTTTCTTGAAGGCCATGGTATTAAATTGCATTGTATTGCCTCAAGTCTGTGATGCATGTGGCTCATAGATTGTAGCGCCACTTACACAGAAACACAGAAATACACTCCAAGATAAAAAGCAATACATCAATATACTGCCAAGGTTCCAACTATCTCTGAAATGCTTTAATAACATGATGTGGATTGCAGTATTGGCCTTGAATAAGACCTGCTGTAATGCTCGCACACAACACAATTGGCACACCTCCTCTGCACTCCTGCTCGGGAAACAATTAGGTGTGTGGAAGAGTGTAAGCTGTGTGTTGAGAGCACAGTGTCTGATGACTATCACAGTTTCATGAGTGGAGTCACATGGTTCTGCCTATCCCTCTCTCTCTGTCCCCCACTCACACACAAAGACACAGTCTGAGTTGTACTTTTCACACATACAGCTTTATCCATAGTCCTTCATGCTGAGTTTCGTTGAGAGAAACTTAACACAAGTGTTTTCTCAAACATTTTATACACATATATACATCTTGTGAGGCATTTGCTAGATTCTGAATCTAGACTGTTGAGGTTTGTGGGAGTGACATTTTGTGTGAGCCTTATTATGTCCATTGACGTTATCATTGGCCTTTTTTTTTAAACCTTTATTTAAGTCCATTGAGATATAATCTCACTTGCAAGGGAGACCTGGCCAAGAAAGGGAGCTAAACAGCATTTAAAAGTTACATGACACATAAATGACAATACAGTACATTAAAACATCTTCCAAGATACCCTTAAAGACTCCAGCCTATAGAAAACATCTACACTCCTCCATCTGCAACCAGGGACTTGAACTCCCTAAGTGGTAGCAGCACCTCAAACAGAAGAATCTTTTGTAAGGAGTTCAATGTTGAGGGTGCACAGAATGAAAAGTCAGTATTTCCTAACTTTGAAACCACCCTGGGGACTTAAAAGTAGTAGCCTGTTAGACTGTGTTTGGTATCGACTGACCGCAAAGTTAAGGCTACAAAGAAACTGGGTAATTTGCACAGAATTGCCTTGTAGATAAAAACACACAAATCTAACTACAATGAGGGTGGACGATTTGGCAAGCGCAATGCTGCATGTTAGGCAGAATCTAGTTTTCCCAGCATAGATGATGCTGCATACATGTACAACAGATGCCCAAAATATCTGCTTTTCATTAGGTCCACTAATATTTAGGATAAATTTTTATTTAAGATAAATACACTGCCACTCGATCATTCTTAGGTGCAGTCACACTTATGTCTATTGCAGCAGTTTTGCTGTAGTAATACCAAATTGCTGCAATTTTTGTATCCAAGTCCCAAGAACCTGTAGTCACCTGTATCAGGCAGTATTGCTTGTACAGTATGCTAATAAGAAATGTGTGAGAATAATCCCAGCTCAGCTGTCTTGATCCAAGATGCAGCGTGCAAGTAAAAAAAACAGAATTTTATAATCTGATTTTGCCAATATGGGTGGGACAATAAACCATAAACTCTAAGCAGGGAAAATAAATGTTTATCCTGTATTTTAGCCAAATGCTGTGCTTCAATTATATGGTGCAGACCTCATTAATTCATTCACATACCTTGTCTATCTGAAGGTTATATGATTGAATGAATTATGAATGATTTGGGTTGAATGATGAGTTGTTGTTGTTGTTGAGCAACACCAACACTGCCCCCCATTGTTATTCCATATACAGTATAAATACATTAGATAAAACACATTTGATCAAAAGGATAGATAAATACATTTGGTCAGTCTAATTACTAGTAGACAGCACAAATTTGTTAAAATGTTTATTCCATGTTGGTCTAGTAGATTTAAAGTATTTCTATGTATAAACGTAATCTTAACTCCATGTATAAAAGAAAATCTTCATATTCCTTCTGAACACTTTAACAGATTACCAACCCTGTGTACAAGAGAGTGTAGTCCTCTGTCGGATTCTGTTTTATGACATCTCACCGCTTATATAATGCATCATCCAACAGATTTAAAAAAATATATACTGCAAATCTGATCAACATTTTCATACCAGTGGAAAGACAATCAAACAAACATTTGTCAGTGTCTCATATAGTACTGTTATTAGAGTTTTCTTCTGGAATGCTGTATTGTCCGTCTGTCCGTAAATGTTTTAGTGAACAACAAAAAGTGTTCCTCGCTAATTAACATGATAAAAAAAATTACGCATTATTGCAGGAACAATACAACTTAAAGACAACAATTCATGACAGTAATATGAGATACGATAACACTTTGATAATGCTCGTTTGCTTACTTTTTACACAGTAGTCTAAAGAACAGCTGGAAACACAAACATGATTGTGCTGTAAAAGATTTTGTTTAAGGGGCATCACCTATGTTAGGTATACACTGAACAATAAAGTGTCTTGTTTCACAGATAAATGCTGAATGACAAGGATGCTGTAAGAGAACAGACAAAAGTGACAAAATTCTCAACTTTCTGCATAGTTTGCACCCCTTCTCAGATGTGGTATAGTTCAGGGCTTCAGAGGCAACAGGGGGAGCAGACAGATTCAAGTGTAGAGGGCTGGTGGTGAAATAGACAATCAGGGAAAAATGCAGTGAGACAAGCACAATAAGAAAAATCCTGTGGTTTAGAGGTGTGGATCAAAGAATGCAAAAGCCAAGTAGAGGCAGTGACAACATCTAGATAAAATTGGGTTTTCTATTCTGGCCTATAGGGAAAGCTGCAGTGAGAAGATTGGACGTGCAGGTCAAATGGGCATCACTGCAGGGAGGAAAAAATCCTGGAGCTTTGAAGACCCAAACATTCATATTCCTCAGAGAGGCTGCAGAAGAGGGCTGAGAGCCACAGGCTGGATGAACGTGTTGGACACCGCCAAGGGGAAGCGGGCGGCTAATGTGAATGGACTGAGTGTTAGCAGCAGCCTGACTTGATCTCAGCAGCCACAGTCTCCTGGTCCAGTTTGATCCGGTCTCCATTGCTCTCCTCATATGGCAAACCTTTGTCGTTAGCCAAGATATTCTCTACCAGGAAACGCGCTGCCTCATCCACGTTGATGTTGTCCTGGGAAAAGATCAAAGCAGTATGTTAGAGTGGTGATAAGGCATTGATTAAAAAAAATATTTACACCTTAGTGACAATGCAGATACAATTCCTTCTAAGCAATCTACATTTAGAAAGAGGAATCACAGGCCTTTATTGCTTAGGAAGTTCACTAAACCCTTTCATATGATCCAGCCTGTTAAAGCAACAGCTAGCAGACACGGTTTCCACAGAGGCAATCTGAGGCCAGCGGAGGAAAGGTAAAAACCACCTTTGTCGTTGTGGCCAAAAGCTGTCATCCCGTGGGTTGAAGAGGTAATAAATATTAATGGCCTGTCTCTAAGCTCTAAAGCAGTGGTCGACAATAGGCGGTCTGCGGGCCAGAGCTGGCCCGCCAGCAATAATATCTGGCCCCAGATTACTTTGATAGCGGCAAAAAAACATTATAGTGGCTAGTGCTGAAACGATGATGTAAGTCATGACAGCAAAAGATACTGACATAATCACTTCCTCTTAAGTGATTTTGCCAACAGAATAAAAGTGCAAGAACATCTTTGCAACAGTACTTTATGTCGTGTTTAATTGAGTTTTTACTTTGAAAAGTTCTGAAGGAAATTCAAAAGAGTATCTGGCTTGCTTGACACACCTCTGACAAAGCCCCAAAAATGAGAGATCAGATTCCCCTGAATGAGAAACGCAGGAATTTCCTCTGCTTGGAGATACTGGGGAAATGAAAATAAGTGTCCGTAGGTTGATGTGGACCAATCGCGGGGGGGAACACACTCCTGCATATGCTTAATGTGAACATGTAAAAAGATCTCTTCATAATCAATTTGTTGAAAAGGGAGAAAAATAACACTAGCAATAAATGGAGATTGAACACACAACCCTTCGAACAGGAGTCCTGTGCACTACTGACTGAGCTTAATAGCTACGCAGTAAATGGTGGAATATAAATGATAAATTGACTATGTTCTGGCCCGCCATTTTCTGACCCCTGCTCTCCAGTAACAGAGAAATTAACAAAGACGTAATAGCAAACATGGTATGTTTATTTTTTTTTATTGAGATTTATTTGAAACTTGCTAGCATTAAGAGAAGTCACAAATTACATTACTCTAAAAATCTAAATTGCTCATTATTTTAGAAAATACTAACTAATAAAAAATGTTTACCAAAATGCCAATTAATTGGAAGTGGATGTGAATACATGATTAGGAGTACTGTCTACATCACTTAAACTTTTCCGGATTTTTCAATGAGTAGAGGGCGCGCGCCAATCAGAACCAGAAAAAAAAATTCTAATTAGAGATAAGTCGTTGACTACATGATAGCTAAGGCTGATTAGGACCAGGGAAAAAAATAAAAGCCCCTCAATATTTGACCTGCCTAAGTCCCACACATTGCAAAACTGTGACATAAACAATGCCCATCTCATCGTGATAGTGTCTTATTCTCTCGTACGTTAGAGAAACAACAATTCATTGCACTCACAGGAAGGAAATGGTTGGAAAGGCTTTGCACACATCACACAAACCCTTCACATGACACAGCACGTGACACCGCTGCAGGGCCTGAGGTTATTTGGAATGAGTTAGGAAAGTTTACTCCGCCTGCCAAAAGTCATAAAAGCATTCCTCCACATGGAAGCATAATAGGTGGTTGAAATGTGTGTTTGCAAGCATCTATTGGCTTATTAACTTGTAAACGTATCTTACTAAAGAAAAGAAGTTGAGGGGAACACAGGAGGGGGCTTTCCCTGGAGTCTTGTACTTTTCCTTAAGTAAGATCTACATGTAGGACTTTTACTTGTAATGGAAAATTGTCATAATGTGGTACTGCTACTTTTACTTTAGTAAATAATCTAAATACTACTTCCATCACAGCAAAATAAACAGTCAAATATTTTAGCCCTTACGTGTATGAACTTAACTGAAAATGAGTTTATGCGATGTGATGATTCACTACATTCTACTCACAAGGACAGAGGAAGAAAAGTGCAGTGTAGACACACAAACAGAGTAACACCAAACCTGTGACGTAGTGATCACAGGGAAGTTGAGGAGAAACACTACATTTTCTTTCAGAGCCCTATCTCTCTAACCCTTATGTCTTATCTAGGCTGCAGCATCAGTCAATGTCATGTGTTACCATATCAAATCTGGTTTCACTGGTTGCAAAGACAAAAGTCCGTAGATGTTGCGCGTGAATTTTTCATAGATTTCCAACCACATCATTTGTCAAAGTTTCAAAGAAGATTAAGACATATTCGAGATCTCATTCTAGTCTCAACTTTATTCTTATCCCCTAATTATGTACATCTGCCATGCTTAACACTGAATTTTGGATCAAAAATGTTAATGTGTTAGTGTTTAACAAAAGCAGTTACTACATTTAACTATTTCCCAATCGCCACATTGTAACCAGTGTGATTGCACCAGCGTCCCTCGCAGGATATCATCTGAGGATTTCCTGTCTGCCATAAGAAGTGAAGAAGCCATTCAGTAAAACTGCAAAATGTCTTCACAGTAAAGTCCAGTGGTTCCTTTTATTTTCAGCTATGGGGGCATTTCAAAGCTTTTATCACATTTGATTTGCCACAAACACAAGTAACGTTCATGCATAAAATAAGATTAGAAGCCATTACTGGTCATGTTTGGACCATGACTCAAGAAGCTTTAACAGAAATAAGTATTCCCATGATGCAAAATATCTCAGCCAGCATTAATATGAGCCGTTACTTTGGTAATTTCACGCTACTGAACCCTGCTTTAAAGTGTAGAGGAACCAGAAATAAAACATGAGGAAGGATCAGGAGAATATTTTAAAAGAAGCCTGTTAAACAGATATAGATAGGAATGTATGGAAAACTGCATGGATCTTTTTTATGAATGGTGTATGTGCGGCTAACCTCTTCTCCATCTAACGTAGTGATCTCTCACCTTAGCTGAGGTTTCAAACCAGCCCAGAAAGCCAGTCTCTTTGCAGAAATTGTCCATTAGGGCCGTGTTGTTGGCACTCTCTTTCTTCTGGTCACACTTATTGGCGAGCAGCACAGAAGGGATAGGGTTGCCATTAGCTAGCTTCACCTTGCTGTCCAGGTCATGCTTCCACTTAGACACTGCCTCAAACGTGGAGCCCCTTGTCACATCGAACACCACGAATGCCCCCACTGCCTCTTTGTAGTACACTCGCGTCATGTTCCCAAATCGTTCCTGACCTGGAGGATAGAAAGAGAATTTAGTGGAATATTTGCATTTTTACAAAGCTGCTAAAAGCTAGATGAGTAATAGGGTTTTGGGTGTCTGAAAGATTAAAAACATGTGGATGTGATGAATCCCTCAAAAGCAGATGTGAAACAAAATACCAAAACAGTACCTTAAGGATACCAAATGTCTAGCCCCAATCTTGTTCACAGACTCATTTTGTATTTTAATCTCATTTCTTTCTCAATTTTGTCACAACTCAGTGAGACCGAAACAATTTTCCTCTGAATGTGGTCAAAAAAAAAAGAAAAAGAAAAAAAAAAGAAGAGATTATTCTTATTCGACCTACTTTTTCTCCACAGAGAATGGCAGAAGTAATCTGCCATGATAATAAGTCCATTCTCTATAGTCATTCCCTGAGAAAATCTGAGATGATATTCCACAAAGGCAAAACAAGGGGAATTACTAGCAGAATACGGGGTGTCACATCAATCTGAGAAGGCCTCTTCTTAAAACACAACCAAACCACTTTCAGGGTTTGTTTTGTGATTCACTTAAATCTACTGATTGTTTTCACATCACACCACCTCCTTAAAGCTTAATCAGCCAGTGAAGAGAATCTCATCCATATTCTTCTGCTTAACAATGGTGCAATACCTCAACTATTTGATTTATTTTGAAGTTGTTTCTTGCACTTTTCTTTTCTGTATTTGAAGTTGTATTTCTGTGTGTGGGGGGGGGGGGGGGGGGGGGGGGTTTACATGCCACCACATCATGTAAAATGACTACAGGTTACTAAGGTTTAATAAACTATAGTCATAATGAATAAAAATTTCCATGGAAATTCCAATACTTTAAAGTGAAACCTTAAAGAGGAAACAGGCTCTTGAGATGAAAAAATTATTCTAGGAACAGCGCTCTAACATACTAACATAACATAAGTCTGCCCACATCACTTCACCTCAGCATAAGAATGCACTGAGGCATACTGTGCAGTACCTTATTGGAGGATGAATCTATCATCAGCAGTTCAACTGGCAAAATGTATCTCTAGTGACACAAGATCCCCTGATTTCTGCCTCAGACCATTTTATTTCTGTATGTAATCATATGAAGCAGTCGGCCCTTCTTTTGTGCAGTTCTTACATTTTTTTTTTTGCTTGGCGTGATAAGCAACAGTGACTGTTGGAGTCTCCAACTTTCGCCACTTGGACTTATTATTTTTGGTTTGTAGTTTTCCTTGCATGAAAAACGTCTCCCAAATATAAGGCTGGAGATATTCTATATCTTTCTTATTATGAACAAATCCCATGAAAAGACTGAAACCAACAGTGTGTTCCATCTGTCAATACTTTTACACTTCCCCAGCCTGTATGTTGCTCTCAATACTTGTTAGTTTGAATAATTAGGGTTTGTTGTAGTTGTACAAATGATGAGTTTTCGTGGAACGGTGTGGCCGTAGCGTGGCGTTCGATGATTCGTCATAAAACAGGAAGTTATTGTATCTTCAGTCTACATGCTCACATCTGTACCAAATTTGGAATGTACTATAAGAGTCCGCCCTGAACACATCCACATGCCAACATTCACTCAAAGTCATAGCGCCACTTGCTGGCAACAGGAAATGACACGTTTTATGCAGTAATGTACTACTCCTAGCAGGTTGGAAAATTCAGAGCCGTCCCAGAAAACCCATAACGCATTGATGAAGCCATGTTGTAAAACTTGTGACTTTGCAGTTAACGGTGTGGCGGTGGCGTGACGGCAAAGTTAAACTCTTTGCCATGACACAGAAAGTTGTTGTAACTTGACTGTACATGCTCACATCTCTACCCTCTATTTGGTAAGAGTCCTGCCCTGAACACATGTACAAGACAACATTCCCCATAGTCATAGCGCCACCTACTGGCAATAGGAAGTGACCAACAAAGCAGCCCCCACGGCACGTTTTACCTACATGTACGAAATTTCTGTGGGACATGTATCATGTCCAGATGTACAAAAAAGCCTCTTGGTGCAATGCCCTAAACACAACAGGAAGTCAGACATTTAGAATTGTATGGTTATTTTGGGATTTTCTACACATTCCATACTTTAACAAACTACTCCTAGAGAATTAGTCCGACCAACTTCATATTTTCTCTGTCTATTCTAAAGCCACCTCACATCTCGACGCGTTACACGCGTGAGGTCCCGCCCAACGCGGCTTGCAGCTTTAATTCATTGTTGGTTTTGGTCTTTTCATGGGATTTGTTGATAATAAGAAAACTACACCAGACTTACCGTAATAACCACTGTGTTACACATATTAGTTGGGTTACCTCAAAATGCATCCAAAACAGGTTAGTTGGTGAAAAATAGGCTTTTTTACTTAATGCCAACATACAGTTAGGTGTGTCGATGCTACCTGCACCTACAGAAATTTCGTACAAGCATGGACAAGCTTCACTGTGATCATAATCTGTGATTTAGAGAGTCTGCAAATGCAGAATGCAAAAATTTACAGACAGAAAAGTGTTTTTTTATTCAAGTAAAAAAATTGTTTCAGTTCTGTTTTTTGAGGTTTTGTATGCTAAAATCAGTTGTGTGATTCACATGAATAACTTAACATGGTGAACTTAACATGGTTAAAGGTCCATCAACTGACTGAGGTATATTCATGAGCATACATAATTCATGATGTTGTTAAAAAAAGTTCACAGACAAAAGGTTGATTTTCCAAGAATAACTACAATATAGGTCTCTTTTGTTTTTTGATGTAAACACATAACAACATCCAAAACCATGTATCACTTCAGTTGTTGGGACAGATTTGATTTTTGCTGGTAGAACTATCATTTCTTTACATTGGATCACATATTGTGCCTTTAAAGTACCTGCTCATTTAACATCTTTTTAGATTCAGCCTGTGCAACTATTATTTGTGCAATCATATCAAGCTTCCAGTGACTTGAGGTAGCATGTGAAATATTTTTGCTCCACCGCTCGAATTTAAGAAAGCCTGCAGGGCAAGAGTAATTGTAGTGTATAAGACATTCAACAGCCTCCACTAAAGCTGAGTTACAAAACAGAAGATGAACCAAGAAAAGGATTGGGGAACTGTGAGCACAGCTTCTCCCAGTATAGTTTTTACTTTACTGTAGGTACTTACCCAACCACACCAGGAACTGGAGTAGCGTGGCGCAGTGCGGGTGTGAGCGAGAGAGTGAATACACTGTGGGGCCCATAGGCCTGACGGTAATTGCTCATAATTGAGAGTCTAATTTTAGCTGATATAACCCCAAGTGAATTCACCAGAGACACGACATGGTGGACTAAAGAGCTGATAGACTGAAATAAGGCTTTCATTTCCATGCCTTGTAGAGCTTATACAACCAGCAGAATGGAGGTAAAGACAAAATATAGGATGAAATAAACAATATTGACTACAGAGGCAAAATTTGCTGAAAATCGTTTCAGCTACACTAGTCAATACAGGAGAAGAGAGGCAGACAAAGAACACAATTTACCATGTTTTATTCAGCTAAATAAAATAAATATAATCTTCACCACTGAACAAAGCAACAGGGACAGATGAGCATTATTATGTACCGACTTTCATAACATCCAAAAACTACTTTTGTGCTACAGTGAAAACATGGACGAGCGATGGGATAATTGCTGAAAATATATTTTTTGCCTACTCATCTAAGACCAGGAACTGGTTTATGTTTGACTTTTTTTATTTTTTATTAAAGTGTTGAATTGCAAGGTTGCCCAACACACACCGACTTGCCCACAAAAGCATGTCACTGTGTGCTTTATGCAGTATAATGATTTAACTCGTACCTTGTGACTTTTGTATTGAATTAGCAAAAAAGATAATAAATGCTGAGAATAAGTATGATCATTCATTTATTCTAGGAGGACAAACCTCTCCATAAACAATGACTACGACATTAAAGCGTGTCATTGTACACATTCAACACTTCACTTGATTTTCTGACGCGTCCAGTCCTGCTGGGTCGATGTGGAAGCACAGCCAGTCTCAGGGTGTTAACCTCAGTCCTCCCGGGAAAGAACAAGCTGGATGGAAAAGACTTGTATGGGGGTGATTATATCGATCAGTATCACCGATTCCAGTTGCACAGGTGCGCACGCACACTCACACATACACACCTTGCTTTTGCAGGCTGTAATGAGTTATTTGGGGTATCGATAGGGTGCTGTGGTTCCGTGCACAAGTCACTAACATTAAATGACAGCAAATCCCATGAATCTGATGACCTTTTAAGTGACATACTATGATAATCTTTCTGCTGCATTTACTAAAACCAGTCCTGTTGCTGAACAACAACACGATAGGCACATTCTGCACCAGTCCTGATCTGATGTTTGCTTTGTTAAATAAAAGCTACTTCACTCTTTGCACTCCCCCTGAAAAACTTTAAAAATGGGTCAAATATATACATATATACAAATATATACTTTATACTTGTCCTAAAATATCTGGGGACTGCATTTTTGTAGCAATCATTAACAGGAGTAAATAATATAATACTTTGGGCCTATTTTCAGCAGTGGATTTAGATGTTTACCTAAAATAAACTACAGTGCCTATGTTCATCAAAATCTTAATGAAAATGCCACCTAGTGCAATGTTGTGTTTAAAATACTTCTGGTCAACAATGGAGTTCAATGGCACAGAGGAATAAGCTTTATCAGGCATTTTGATACACAGGCAATGTCAGCAATTCATTATCGATTAGTCTGCGGATTATCTAGACTAATCAAATAATCCTTTCTGGCTATATTTGCCCGGAAATTATAAAAAAATGCCCAATAATTACCATAAGGTGACATCTTCAAATGTCTTGTCATTAAAATATGTATGATGAAAAGCATCAAACCCTCACATTTGATAAAATGGAACCAGTTTTTTTTCCTTAACAAATGACCAAATTTTATATTCAATAATAAATTAATTGATAGTATACCAATATGTAATGGCCCAACATGGAAATTCAATGAAGCA